CTAAGCTATCCCTAATTAATATTTTTAAATGAAGCTCAGTGCACTAAGTTATAACATGCAAATAATACCCTACTAGATATTTTCGAATGAAGCCCAATGCACTATTTCATAACATGCGAACAATGAGGATAGAAATACATTTTATAAAACTTTTAGGCATTTGGAAAATAAAGAAAAAAAATTAAGTGTTTCAAATTGCAATCATACACAAGTTCATGATTGCGGTGAGCGTGGATCAAATACACAACCTTCAAATCTTCAATCCGATACTCTCCCAACATGCGAACAATTATGTTGGAGGATAGAAATACTTTGTATCAAAGTTTTAGGCATAAGTTTGAACGTTAAAAATTAAGCGTAAATTGAACACATGGTCTTCAGATCTTCAGTCTAACGCCTCCCAACTGAGCTATCCCTGCTAAATATCTTCGAATGAAGCTCATTGCGATTTTTCATAACATGCGAACAATTATGTTAGTTGGAGGATAGAAATAATTTTTATCAAAGTTTTAGGCATAAGTGAAACATAAAAAATTAACTATTTCAAATTGCAATCATACATAAGTTCGTGAATGTATAAGACAATAACATGAATTTTCAAAAAAACATTCAGATCTTCAGTTTGACACTCTCCCAACTGATCTATTCCCTCTAAGTATCTTCAAATGAAGCCATATTTCATAACATCAAACAATTATGTTGGTAGGAGAATATAAATACTTTTACATTTAATGTGTCGAATTTTGAAAATTATTACATAAGTTTGAACTTAAAATTAAATATTTAAAATTGCATTTATACATAATTTTTTTTTTATCTTAGGTAAAAGTTGTTATGAGAGTGTACAACTAAAGTTTGAATCTCTTGAAGTCATCAAAAGCTATACACTCAAATCTCAATGCCTCGAATTTTGAAGATTATTGGTTGCATGATTTTTAAGGTGCAACACTCATTTGGTTAAATTTATCTTTTATCTTAAAATTCTTCCCACTAAATAAGTTTAATAATTTGTTCATAATAATTATAATAACATCAATAAAATATTGTATATAAATTGTGTAGCGAAGTTTTAAACATAAATTTAAACTTAAGATTAAATATTTCAAATTGCAATCGAACCTAAATTATTGCATAAACATTTTTTATTTGGTAAATTTTTTTCTCACCCACTAATTTTAAGTTTTCATAAAAAATAATGATAACTCGAGAAAAAAAAAGTTGTTGGTGATATTTTCAATGATAATTATTAATAACAAAATTGCAATTAAAAGAATGAGATGAAAATTTGACATTCCTAGTGTGATTTCAACCTAGTCATTATAAATTTTTTAAATCCTGCGTAAACTCAGTCAATAATTGGAAGTATTTAGGAGCATCGACTTAGCTAGGCTAATGTAAAAAATTTTCCTCCATAACAATCATTAGCCAAAATAAATAAATTATACTCGACCGTTCAAATGGCTTGGAGGCCTAAAACTTAAAAGCCTCTGGCCCGATTGAATCCTCCCTTCCTGGGCCGGCCCATTACTTAAATAGGCTTACAATAAACCTGTACAATGCATTCTACATCTACTACGCAGCATTATCCCTTTGGTAGCATTAATGAGAATTCCAATTCCTTTCCTTTTCTCCCTTAAAATTAAAAAAAAAAAAAAAAAAAAAAAAAAAAAAAAAAAAAAAATACATCGTAATATGTGAGAGTACATCATCCCAGAAGTAAAATTTATTTAACCGTGTTGAGGTACTACACGTGTAGTCAAGAGAGGTTTTAAACATAACCAAATTTGAAACGTTGATAGTAGTGAGCAGTATTTCACTAACCTTGCTCTAATATCGAAACCTTAAAGATGGTAATTGACATGATACATTACTTTTTTATCCTCTATGCTATCTATTCGCCTTCATTTTTCCTAACCGGATCATTAGATATTTAAGTTCTCATAAACATGTGTCTCATGAGAATCAGATCTCGAGAAGCAAAAACATACAGTTGTTCCCGGGCATATTTTTTCTCAAATAAGTGGTGAATTATTAATAAGACCAAATCTAGGCGAATTAAACACCGAAACTCTCGTAGATTGAAAATTTGACATTCCTAGTTGTGATTTCAACCTTGGAAGTCATTATTAAACTCTTTACTCTTACCAAATCCCTCGTGTTAGAGCACCGTCAGAAATGAAACCTGAAAATACGTATGGAAGGTATTTAGAGGAGTGGTCGACCACATTAGGATAAGGCTCATATTCCGCCTGAATCGAGAAATAATTTGTTCTCCTCTCGAGTGAACATCAGGATCCATAGTGCTCATATATAATAATACACCTCTAAATTATACTCTAGTATCGATAAATCGTCTTGGTGTAGGCATAAAATCTTGAGTTAGTCGTCTGGACCGAGTTCGCACATCCTCCCTCTTCCTGGGCCAAGGTTCCCCGCGACATCACTTATAAACTAGGGCTTACATATTAACAACTTGTAGGCAAATGCATTTCTACAGTTCTCCCTTACGTCATCCGCAGGCGATTATCCCTTGTGGTAGTCCTGACATGAGAATTCTCCCGAGATCTCCTTCTCCTTTTTTCGCCTCTTTGAACTAACTCGTAAAGAAGACACAAAAAAATACACAATAAAGATACAACAGAAAAACCAAGCACCGGCAATTAATTTCTAAGTTATTTCCATCAATACTGCATGACCTTCCATTGCGAGTTTCTATCTTTTGTTTGTGCAGAGCCAGAGCCAACTAACCTGTGACCGATGTATTACGAAAGATTCTATTCTAGCATCCGAAGTGTCCTTCCTATCTTCCGGTTTTGAGGTCCTGACACCAGTTAGTATATTTCTGAGCATCTATATCACGCGGAGGTCGTGGGTTATGGATAATTCTGATGGCTCGGACCCCCCGAAGGTTAGTGGACTCATTACCTTTGTTTATGCATTCATCGAATCGTAAAGGCTGACTCGCTATGGATGAGAATAGGTAGTTATAATGTCTTCAATAATTCAGAAACAAGAAGCTGAAGTTCTCTAATTGTAGAATACGATAATACATAGTCCATAGTAGACAAAATGGTTTTAGGTACCCGTATCGCACTTATCTCTTTGCGAACAGGAACTGAATTGGAGAATTCGCATATTTCCAAACCTCGATATGGCACACTTATCTCTCTCCTCGAAGACAAGATTTATTGCGAATTGCTATTATAACCAGGCCTATTATGTATGCAAGTATTAGGACGAGGTAAAAAAAAAAAAAAAAAAAAAAAAAAAAAAAAAAAAAAAAAAACCCATTTTCTTAAGTTATTTCCATCAACATGGCTTCATGGATTTTTCTTCTTTTGGTTTCTCAGGAGCCAAACAACTTACGAGTTTCAAAGGAATTCATTTTAGATCCTCTATCATTTTTCGATTTTAGATATATAGATATTAAGTGGAGTCGTGGATGACATATATAATTGATGTTTATGAGTCATGATGAGTATTGTTTATAATAAGTTTTTTAATATCAAAAACTATTTTTATTTTTAAAAAAGAAAATTCTAGAAAAATATTTTAGGACATATCGATATTCTTGGAAATGATTGGAGAAAGATTCCAATATCTGAATAATTTTTTTTATGGACAAAATTATTTGAATTGCAATCAACATATAGATGAAGAATTAGAAATGATGCAATTGAAAACAGTTTTGGGCTGGTCTGGTTTAAATACAAAATTATTTTCAGTCATGATCGGTGCTTAATTGTATATGCATTCGTCATGTCACGTGTCGAGTCAACTAACTCTCAGCCAACCCTCACTCACTAACTACTTTTCAAGTATTATTCCACAGCATGCGCGCGCATGCCTCGCTTGCTGCGCATGCTTTCTTTGCAAATATGAAGTCACTGGTTTAGTTCTAAAACTAAACCAAAACTAATCTGGAAAAATCTTAAATCATAACCGATATGAGTAATTTGGTTCTAAATTGGACTCGAACCAGGAGGACACCGGTTGATTTAAACATCTGTATTTGAAATTGGAACTGGCAAGAGACAAGTCGAGATTGCAAATTATTAGAATCAGGCGGATTTCCAATTTCACCCTCTTAGGACCACCGGTTCAATAAACCACTCACCCTAAACCCATGACTGAATATCATGTTTTGCCAAGAATTTTTGCTTTCTCGAAAATAATTTTTTTCTACATAAAAAAAGTGCGTTAGGAATTCAATCATCACTATTCTATATTAATTTATAATTTGGGTGGTGAAATTATATGTTTTTATTTTCTGTGATTAATAAAAATAAAAAAATTCTACCACAAGGATGTGTTTGGTGTGGAATTATAAAGACACTCTGTTACACCTAACCAGTAAACAAATGATTTGGTAACGAAAAATTTATCTATCTATAAGAAATAGATGTTATACATAGATAATTTTGCCTTCGATGCCATATATAATTTATTTAAAAATTAACTTTTTTTATATAAGTATCACCCTAATTTTATATCAAATGACAAAAAAATTAATTTATAGTTAAAAAAATCATTATTATTTATAATAGTATTTTGCCTTTAATAATAATTTTATAAATTATAACTATTAAAAATTATTATTTCAGTTATTAAAATTGACTTTTTTTTTATTTGGTGTGGATTATAAATTTATAATTATGAAAAAAAATTAATTTCAGAGTAAATTATCGTACCCAAGGTCAAATTGAAGCTCGCTTTTGCACTCTTATAAAAACCGTGACGCCCTACCTAAAAACTAACGGCGTTAAATAAAATAAAGGCTCAGGTGGTTGCGTGATAAGTAGTTTGTAGAGAAGCCCAGGAGCTTATGCGAGAATCTGAGGAATATTCCTTTACTTGATGGCCAAACTAATCACGAAAATACTAGAAATGTCACGTGCGATAGACGACGCAGTCAGTTATATATTTTCAAATGTCCACGCACAAACAACCACGTGTACCTTAACCCTAGCACCGTTAAAAGCATACTATTATTAATACTGTAAATCCAACGGCGACAGTTCCTGATTTAATACTTTTAACCCACAGATCCATAAACGCACTGGTCTTGGTTTTCACTTTTCTCCGTCTTTTTGCTTGATTTTTATTAATCCAAAGCCTTCATTCTGTGTCTTGTTTGATTTTGCTGGTCAATTCCTTGGTAAGCTTTGGAATGCGATTGGGTTTGGACCTTTAGCTTGTGATTTTTTTGTGGTTTAGTTTGATTCATCGTTGTTTATATAGATATGTTGTTGCTTGATTTTTATTGATGAGTTTTGATTTTTGAAATAGAAAGAAAGAGAGATGGGAAGCTCTGGAGAATTCACATGGAAATTGGCGGATCACCCAAAGCTTCCCAAGGGGAAGACAATAGCAATGGTGGTTTTGGATGGTTGGGGTGAGGCTAAACCCGATCAGTATAACTGTATCCATGTTGCTGAAACTCCTACTATGGATTCTTTCAAAAAGGTTTGTTTCATTGTTATTAGTTTGTTATTATCATCTGATTAGTAATTCCGTTTTGGGGATCTATATTGGGTGGTTGAATTTGTTTTTTCAGATCTTAAAGTGATTTGTTGATGTGTTAATTTGGGACTGATTTACCTGTATTTTGATGATTTAACTGATATTTGTTTCCCCTACTTCCTTCATTGATAGACTGCTCCAGAGAGATGGAGATTGATTAGGGCTCATGGCAAAGCTGTGGGTCTTCCAACTGAAGATGACATGGGCAACAGTGAAGTTGGTCACAACGCTCTTGGTGCTGGACGTATTTATGCTCAAGGGTCAGCTTCTCTTTCACTGTTTCTTAATTCATTATTTAGATGCTCTCTTGCAACCAAAGCTAACTTTATTGTTTTTGCACTATAGTGATGAGAAGGGTTACTTGGTATGTAAACTTGATGCATCCTAAATAATGTGGACTGAATTTATAGTGCTATATTTGAGTTTTAATAGGCTGTGCTACCAGAGTGCATAACTTATGGTGTTGCATTATCTTCATGAACTATATGGTGGGATTTAAGAAGTCTAAATGTCAGTTCAAAATTCATTATAGGTTAAACTTTTCTTAATTTGTAAAAGGATCTCAAGAGAACCAGCTGTTCACTTTTTTTTTTTTTCGGAGAGGTTATTGAATCCTTTCATTTGATGGATTCTTGATATTTAGATGTTCAAAATCATGAACTAGCCTTTATTTAGTGATATGCGTTTTAATTGCTCCAAGTTTGAAAAGTTTTGTTGTTTTGAATACAGTGCTAAGCTCGTGGACCTTGCTCTTGCCTCTGGAAAAATATATGATGATGTGGGATTTAAGTACATAAAGGAAAGTTTTGAAACTGGCACTCTGCACCTCATTGGCTTACTCAGTGATGGTGGAGTTCATTCTAGGCTTGATCAGTTGCAGGTGAGTTTTTGAGAAAAAAAATTTCATTCTTGCCAAAGCTTCTTGTTCCCAAATGATGATGTTTATTCATGTGTTTTCCTGTCTTCCATGCAGTTGCTGCTAAAAGGCGCTGCTGAACGTGGTGCTAAACGAATCCGTGTTCATATTCTTACTGATGGACGTGATGTTATTGATGGCACAAGTGTTGGCTTTGTAGAAACTCTTGAGAAAGACCTTGAAAATTTACGTCAAAAAGGTGTTGATGCACAGATTGCATCTGGAGGAGGGCGCATGTATGTTACAATGGATCGTTATGAGGTATTTAGTATAGTTTTGAGGAATTTGTTTCCACAATGGTTTTTCTTTATGTGAATTTATTTGTTTTTAAGTTTCACTTTTACTAGTTGACCTTGCAATCACATCCCTGCAAGAGGAAATGCTGTGGGTAAAGAAATAGGAAGAAAGGCCACCTAGGATCTAACAGAATTTTGTTCTTTAGGCAATGGCCAAGTGCTAATGTCATCCTCAGTTATTCTGGTTACTTGGGATCTAACTGAAACTGTTGCGTCCAGTCAAGCTTATCTTAATGGCATTGGGAACATGCTTATTACACCTGTAAAAGTTCGAGAGGGGTTAGGAAATAACAAAAGCTCACGTCAACCTGTTTTCTTTTCCCAACTTACAGTTGCTATAGGTGTCAGTTCTTGTCTTCCTGTAGTGTTATGGATTTAGCAAGTTTACTTGCACAACTTCATTAGTTTACTAGTTAGAACCATGTGAACAATTTAAACATATACACTTTGCAATGTTGAAATTGCATTTTGAACCAAGTGAAGTAATTTTGTAATTGCATTTTGTAATAGTAAAATCAACAAAATTTTACAATTCTAAAAATTTTACGTGTTTGAGTTTTGCAATTCATTTTGTGTCGGTAGTCTATTATATTTATATTTCTTCTTGCTTTTAAACTTTACTTTTAAAATGTTAAATTATTTATCAAAGATGTTTTATCTTTAGTTAATGATACAGTAAGAGAATGATAAACGTTTATTTGATGATGAATGTGCACGGATGCTTATTTATCATTCCCAAAAAATGTGTCTTGTACTCACTTTTAATGAATTATTGTTACTCTGGTATTTGTAACTTTTGAAATTTACATTTTTAAAAATAAAGTTCAACGAATATTAAATTGCTGCTTTGCTTTGTGGTTCAAGTTATTTTCTGATTAACATTTTGGGTAATTGAAACATTACTTTGCCATGTATGTCCAAATTCTTTGTGGTCTTTTGCAGAATGACTGGAATGTTGTGAAACGAGGATGGGATGCTCAGGTTCTTGGTGAAGCCCCACACAAGTTTCGAAATGCTGTTGAGGCTGTCAAGAAACTAAGGGAAGCTCCTAAAGCTAATGACCAGTACTTGCCTCCATTTGTCATTGTTGATGAGAATGGAAAGCCTGTTGGCCCAATTGTGGATGGTGATGCTGTTGTCACATTCAACTTCCGTGCAGATCGTATGGTTATGCTTGCTAAGGCACTTGAATATGAGAATTTTGACAAATTTGATCGGGTTAGATTCCCTAAAATCCGTTATGCTGGAATGCTTCAGTACGATGGTGAGCTGAAGCTTCCTAGCCATTACCTCGTATCTCCTCCAGAGATAGAAAGAACATCTGGTGAATATTTAGTGCATAATGGTGTTCGCACCTTTGCTTGCAGGTAACCCAGCATTACCAGTGTCTCTTATTTTTATTTACCATTGTACTTCTTTTCTTATACAAGGAACAAAAGAACTGTTTTTCTCCTTTTCTATATTGAGGTGACTTGTGAGTGTCCTATTTGAACCATTGTTGGGATTATGACTGCATACTATATCTGCACTTTATTGGGCTGGTACGGTGCTTTACATTTTTTGGAACTAATTAATATTGCTTATTCCACTTGGTTTTTAACTAGTATAGTTGGTTAAAAAAATTTGTTCTCCTCATTTGACTCTATTGTTGTGAGTGTTTTTGGGCTTCATAGTAATTAGTTAACCTATGAGTATTTGTTCAACAGTGAGACTGTCAAATTTGGCCATGTCACTTTCTTCTGGAATGGAAATCGCTCTGGTTATTTCAATCCAGAGATGGAGGAATATGTTGAAATTCCCAGCGATGTTGGAATTACATTCAATGTGCAGCCAAAGATGAAGGCTGTTGAGATTGCAGAGAAGGCAAGGGATGCTATCCTCAGTGGCAAATTCCACCAGGTAATTAGTGTCCTTAATGTGCCAAATGAGTAACTTGTACTGTATTCAAGCAGAATAACTATTTAACAACCTGTTCTTTTGCATTTTTATATAGGTTCGTGTTAACCTGCCAAATGGCGACATGGTTGGACACACAGGAGATATTGAAGCCACAGTTGTTGCATGCAAGGCAGCTGATGATGCTGTCAAGGTTTAATTGATCTTTATCGATTTTATTTTTCCATTATTTCTGAGATTATGTTTTCAATATTGGGATATTTGGGTTTTCAGTTGATAGGTGAATAGTGCTGTTGCTAATTTGTGCCAGTGGTTGTGTCTTTCATTTTTTGTTTCTTTGTTAATTTTTTCAGTGGGAAAAAAGAATTGGTAATTTTAGTACTAATTAAAAAAATGTAACTTGGAATAAAGCCGAAGCTGTATAATGGGATTTTTGAAAAATTTTGGAAGAGTGTTCTAGATGGTTGCCATTGACATTCTAGGAAAACAGACAGGTGTGGCTGCGTTTCTGCTGACCAGGAACTTTATTTTTGCAGATGATCATTGATGCTATAGAGAAAGTTGGTGGAATATATGTTATTACTGCAGATCATGGCAATGCTGAGGACATGGTAAAGAGGGACAAGTCAGGGAAACCTCTTCTTGACAAGAATGGCAATATTCAGATATTGACATCTCATACGCTTGAGCCAGTAAGTTTACTAAATTGATTTGTTCAAAATCATAAAAACCAAATTTACTGAAATTTTCTATATTCTCACTTGTTTGGTTAGTCTGATTATGGCTTTTGACTTCTCCAACTCTGATAATTTTTGTGCAGGTGCCTATTGCAATTGGAGGTCCTGGATTGGCACCTGGTGTCAGATTCCGCAATGATGTTCCCACCGGTGGACTTGCAAATGTGGCTGCAACTGTTATGAATCTCCATGGATTCGAGGCTCCTAGCGATTATGAGCCTACTCTAATTGAAGTAGTCAACAACTAGGATTAATGTAAACCCAAGAATTCAATTTTAGTTTTTTGCTTAAATTTTGATTGGCAAGCGGAAGTCTTACCATGTACGGCAAGTTATCGGATTAAATAAGCGATTTTGAGTAAGCTTGCTGCTGGGGTTGGCTCCCTATTTTGGATTTCGGATACACACTTACCGTATATCCCGTTCGAGATTTGAATGGACGGTGTATTTATAAATTTTCTATGTTATTGTCATCGGTATTTGCATTTTCTTATTTCTTTTTGTTTATGTTGGTCTGAATTTAGAACAAAAAAAAATTTATGGTTTGATCTTTGTCGAAGTGTAATAGGGTGTAAAATGATATTGTTCGCTTTCTTCCAAAATAGAGTGAAAATTAGACTAAAAGTGATATAAACTAAATTTATTTTACACTTTTTACATTTTCATTCAAATTAAATAAGAGATTTTAAAAATTCTAAAATATTTTGGCGTTCGCAATTAATATTGCTTTTAAATATAAATTTACATATGAAAATTTCTACATTTTCCAAAATATAAGATATAAGATGTCTACTCAAAAAAAAAAATAAAAACAAAGATAGTCTAAAATTTTTTATAAATGAAGAAAAATATAAACTAAGAATAACATTTTAAAAATATTAGATTTAGGTAAGTTTAATACCAAAATAAAAAGGTAGAAAAAAAAAAAGAAATTAAAAAAAAAAGAGAAAGAAATTAAAGAAAAAAAAAAAAAAAGGAAAATCCACAAAGTCGAAGGGCGAGTCCGACAGCTTGTCCGCGCTCGAATACCTGTCTCTTACTAATCGTGCCAGTCGCCTAAGTATGATTCTTGTAGAGCAGAATATAGCAGAGACGCATAGGCCAAACGCGTGGAACTTATAAGCCCTCATCCGTCAGAGCTCGGGCCCCAAAGTGTGACCACAGCAGTGATAATCATTTAAGCCTCGATCCTACTTCTGTGGCCAAATGGTATCCAACAATCATGGGGTGGTGACTGTATTCAACAGCAGACTATAACCCTATTTAACAACCTGTCTTCTTTTGCATTTTTTATTATAGGTTCGTGTTAACCTGCCAAATGGCGAAATGGTTTGAGACACACAGGAGATATTTGAAGAGCCACAGTTGTTGCATGGCAAGCAGCTGATGATGCTGTCAAGGGTTTCATCACTTTAATCTTCTATTCAGATTTTCTGGTTATTTTTTCCCATATTTCTTGAGACTTATAGTTTTCCATATTGGGATAATGTTGGGGTTTTCAGCTATAGATAGTTGATGTGTGGACCTTTGCTGTTGTCGGATGAGTGTGGCGCAAGCTCGGTTTCATCGCTCTTTCATCCTCTGGTTTGCTGTCTCTTTGTTAATTTTAATGTCAGTGGGCAAAAATAAACACTTGGTCACATTTTCGTGTTCTAATTACAAAAAATGTTAATCTTGTGCACGATACTCGTCCAAAGCTGTTGCTTTATACATCGCGCGCATTTTTTGAATATACACAATATTTGGAGACAGAGTGTCTCTTTTGGAGGTTTATGCATAATGACCTCCACTGTCTAGTAGAGCAGGACAGGGTAGTGAGATGGACGAATTTGGCTGCTAGAGAACCGAGGCCACTACTTTGTCACCTCTCTATCTGCATGATTGAACCAACTTCTCAATGTGTTCCTATGTGATATTCGATTCGCGTGGACTACCATTTACCGGTCACTATAGAGATGACTTGAAAGATATCGATAGCAATATCGCATTCTGGGCGACTTGAGCCTAAGGAGAGGGACACAGGTTCTGCCGGATTAGATCGCTAACTTGTATGGAGCGAAGTCCGGAATGAGCGACATACTATGCAAAGGTAGAGTATTATTACATCTCAGTCCACTTATGAAGCTCTCATTATTATTATCTGTAGCTAAAATGTGTATATTCCTTTGTGTCTCACCAACATCAGTGACAAACCCAACACGTTGTAACGTGTGTCAAATATAGATATCTTCTTACCTTAGTCCTCCTGTTTAGTTCTGCCCTTAGTGCCTTTTGACTTTCGGTGCCAAACTCGTGCTGGGGATAATTTTTGTGCAGGCTGTCCTATTGCAATTTGGAGGTCCTGGATTGGCAAAACCTGGTGTCAAGATTCCGCACAATTGAGTTCCCACCGGTGGACTTGCAAATGTGGCTGCAACTGTTATGAATCTCCATGGATTCGAGGCTCCTTAGCGATTATGAGCCTTACTCTAATTTGAAGTAGTCAACAGAACATTAGGATTAATGTAAACCAGAATTCAATTTAGTTTTTTGCTTAAATGTTTTTATTGGAATCGGAGTTCTTACCATGTACGCAAGTTATGAATTAAATAAGGGCGTTATTATTTTTGTAGAAGTAAATTGCCTATATGGACTCTGTGGACTGGGGGCTTTGGTCCTTCCCACGATCATTCCTGGAGTTGTTCGGAGTACACAAAAGCTATCGCGAATAAAAATATCCGCGTTGCTGAGGAATATGATATGACGCACTGCTCCCCGTCGCCCCTAGTTATATGAGAAAATATTATGTCGGCACGTGTAATTTGTCCGGTATTTTAAGCTCTATCTAGTTCTTTTTGTTTATGTTGGTTGTGTTAATTAGATACAAAATAGATTATAGGTGCTCCTATTTATGTTTTTATCTTTTGTCGAATATAGTAGCCTGCTAAACACTATTGAAGGCTGTGTGCACATCGAGAGTATCGATAATAGTTGTGTCCATCGGCATACTAGCTTGAACCTAAGCTGATCTCAATGCCGTCTCGGATGAAAGGAAGGTGGAGAAATTCCAGTTAGCTTGAATACCCACCGCTGAGGAATCCTGAAAACTACCAAGTGAAGTTCAACCGTTTTACATTTTTACATTTGGTACAATAATGAAAATGTATAGTGGAAGAGATTTTAAAATTCTAAAATTCTTACTCAATGGAATCTTTATTGGCTGTGTGAGATACGCCTCCATCAATCATATTCGTGCGTTGGGTTAGATAGTTTTTATGTTTTCAAACTCATGACCTCTGTCTTACATCTCTTACAGAAGAAAGAAAGTAGCAACATGCCTAATGTATTGAACGCATTATATATAGTGTTTCTTACTCAAATCTTACAGAGAAAGATTAAGGACACGAGATAGGATGTCTTAATGGTGATCATTCATTTATAAAATGAGTAATACAATGTTAGTGAATTACTGAGAGGTAAGAAGCATCTCATTAAGACCCCAGGGCACAAGCAATATTTGAGATCAGGTAAGGTTATAATATCATTAATTATAAAAAAGGTAGACCACAACCAGAACCACAAGAAATTTAAAAAACTATTTAGAAGAGAATTGAAAAATATACAAGCGAGTAAAATAAAAGAGAAAAGGAGAAAACATACCTCGGAGAGAGCACGACGGGTCCCGAACGCTCCATATACTCGGAGCCGTCGATGTAAAAAATTAAAAAAAAAAAAAAAAAAAGGAAAAACTGGAAAGAAGACGCTCCCAAGTCCCAATCCGAGCCGTCCGATGTAATGAGGTGTCTCTGGTATCCCACTAACAAATTTGAATTTCAAATTGGGAGGATTCACTCACTTCCCTCTCCACGAAGAGACAACCGTTCTAATAAAATATAAATAGATATATAGGTTTCTATTCTAATGCAGAATCCAGAAGAAACCGCTCAGACACAACAGTAAGAGAAAGCAGCAGCAACAACAATGGAGAAGTACGAGAAGCTAGAGAAGGTAGGAGAAGGCACATATGGGAAAGTATACAAGGCCAAGGATAAAACCACTGGCCAAATTGTCGCTTTGAAGAAGACCAGACTAGAAATGGACGAAGAAGGCATTCCTCCGACGGCGCTCCGTGAGGTCTCTTTGCTTCAAATGCTCTCTCAATCTCTCTATGTCGTTCGCCTCCTCTCCGTTGAACACGTCGATGCTAATGCTTCTTCTAACGCCGCAAATGTCACCGCCGCCACCGACGATAATAAGGAAAATTCCATATCTAAATCTAATCTCTACCTAGTTTTTGAGTACCTGGACACTGATCTCAAGAAATTTATTGATTCTCATCGCAAAGGACCTAACCCTAGGCCTCTCTCTCCTGGTCTTATCCAGAGCTTCCTGTTTCAGCTCTGTAAAGGCGTTGCTCATTGCCATAGCCATGGCGTTCTTCATCGCGATCTCAAGCCGCAGAATCTTTTGCTAGATCAGGATAAAGGAATTCTTAAGATCGCCGATCTTGGCCTCGGCCGTGCTTTCACCGTTCCTCTTAAGAGCTATACACACGAGATTGTTACTCTTTGGTATAGAGCTCCTGAGGTCTTGCTTGGCTCCACTCATTATTCAACCGCCGTTGATATGTGGTCCGTCGGTTGCATCTTTGGTAATCTTAATTTATTTTTTCTTTTGTACATATTTCATTTAATTACTTATTTAACGCAATTATTTTATTTTATATATTTTTCCCATATCTTTTGTCGTGATGTTGTTGGATGAAATTCTCCATCCAGAATTTGTGATTTTGATCAATTTAATTTCGTTTTGTGGCTTCAGCTGAAATGGTCAGACGGCAAGCTCTGTTTCCTGGTGACTCCGAGTTTCAACAGTTGCTTCATGTCTTTAGGTATCGATTTACAAAAATTGTATTTTTGTTATCAGCTTTAGTAAGTTTTTCAAATCATTTCTCTTCTGTACTACTTTAAAGTACTTCATGGAACAGTTTTACAAGAATGAAGATACTCTCTTTGTAATTATTTTGTTTAGGGTCTTTAGGCTTAAACTAAAAGGGCTAGTTATTTCAGATGCTCAAAACTGACAATTTATCATATACCTATTTTCTATTTGCTTTTTTTTTTTTTTTTTTTTTTTAATTTATCATATACCTATTCCTATCTGCTTCTTTTTTCCTATTTTTTTTGTTTCTAAGGTATCCCCTTCCCCGCCTATATCTAAACTTCACTAGTCATATATATTTCGTGGTTTCTTTTTGTCCTGCTTTCCATTTGGAAGGTTGTGGGAACACCGACTGAAAATGCAGTGGCCCAGGAGTTACTGCTCTCACCCAGTGATTGCCTATGTCATCATCGCACTATGGGAGCCCTCACACAGGGAACCTGTGCACCGCGCTGTCCATCACTCTTGGGACCTGACACGGTCTCAGACCTACATTTTTTTTTTTTTTTTTTTTTTCTAGTTCCCTTCCTATATCATTCATAGTTATAATTTCGCTGTTTCTTTTTGTCCTGCTTTCCCATTGGAAGGTTGTTGGGAACACCGACTGAAAAGCAGTGGCCAGGAGTTACTGCTCTCCGTGATTGGCATGTCTATCCGCAATGGGAGCCTCAAAACCTGGCACGCGCTGTTCCATCACTTGGACCTGACGGTGTAGACCTTCTATCGGTAACTACTGGTTCTTTGACTGCATTTCATATTGGTGAACTTGTAGAAATATTGGTGTAAAGGCAACTCAAAGGCCTAGTTTTCGAAATATTATCTAGAAGTTGTGAGCTTTCTATAGGTTTGATCTGAGGAATTATCTGGCACGAAACAAGTATAAGAAGTATTAGTCCACAGTTAGAATTATTATTATTTTCTCCCAACTTGGATAATTCTTGTGAGTTGTGACAACTTTGGCATATGAGAATCATTGAGGTTACTACTTCTAGCGGCAATGATGCTCCATTTGGCATGGCTGAAATGATATTTCTAAATTACGATTAGAATATGCTAGTTTGTAGATTTTATAACTATTAAAATGTCGATGGCTTTGAAGGTAGAAAAATTTGATTCATTATAGGCTGATAGGTAACAGTGGTTTAAATTTTGTCATAATTCATTACTCATTTCCTCAATCTAACAAAATTGGAATTGGAACTGGAATGTGAGGAAAGAAATAACCCAGAGAACCTCTTTCTTAAGATGTTCAGAAATTACATATTTGTGCTTATTGGGCTTGATTGTGCTAGCTCTCTGTGTTTGCCTTGGCTGGTCTATTAACAGCTTTATTTTGGTGTCTTAATACTTTTCTTGTCTTTTGATAATGCAGAAGTTTCTTAAATACGACCCATCTGAAAGAATATCAGCCAAAGCAGCCATGGATCATCCCTATTTTGACAGCCTTGACAAGTCTCAATTTTGAAGTTGAACTGCTTGGCTAGAATTGTCATGTGACATATGACAGCTTTTGAAAGTTGTATCTTGTCATTTTTTAGTGTGCTTCTAGGAAATTGGTTATGTAGTGAAGCATTAATCAATGATGCTTGCTTCATCATCTTGGTGATTTAACTATACTTCTACATTGGAACCTTTCTTCTTATTGTCACTCAAGTTCTGTAGTGTTCTGTAATGGTCATGAATAAAATTACAGGTGTTTGTAATGCTTCAGTGAATGACTCGGCGATTTGTTCGATCTTTTATAGGAAAAAGAGTTTATGCATTGCGTAGTTGTTTCTCAGCTTGCCGACTGAGAAGTGAAATTGCAGTATTAGGGTACGAAAGGCTTGTCAGTTGTCTGCTTTGAGTTTATCCTCATTGTCGATGCCACCAACATTAAAGTGGCGTTTTATGCGGTTGGTGCGGCAAAATCCTTTGCGATTTGAGTTGTATGTTGTCAAAGAAACAAGATTAATTGATTGATGTTTAAGTTTCATCCTTTGAATGTGTGTCTGGTTAGTGGGGTACCATATTGTCTCTGTAGGAGTAATTATCTAAACATATACAGATAAGCATACGAGGCTGCGTGGAAGGCTTGTGTATCAAATGGTATGAATTGGGGAAGGGCACTTCTGTGAACATGATGGTTAAATTGGTATTTATTCATGTTAATAATTTAAAATTAATAAAAATTAAAATTTTCAGATATTATCATTTTAAATTTTAAATCATTAGTTTTCAGATGCAATATTTAACGGCTATTATTTATTACCAATAATTGAACCAAAGTGGTATTTGATCAATTAGCAATTGCTTGTTTTATTTAGTATCACCAACAAAACAAAACAATTAAATTTGAATTCCTAAAATTAAAAATATTTCCAATTAGAAAAGTGAAGAATGACAAAAAATGGGTGGAAAAAGTAAAACCTCAAATATTACAACGGTAAAAAGAAAACAGTCAAATTTAACTGCTGCTAAAAACCATCAATGCCCTCTCCATCCCCAACCTCCAAATATATCTCAACTCCCGCACTTCTCTCTCTCAGAGTCTTAGAGGATGATATTCAATTTTATTTGTCAAGAAAAATAAACAAATAAATTATTTTTTTTCCGCTTTTCGTGAGTTTTATTTCTTTCTGATGTCCTCAATTCTTGGAAGATTTGATATATGTTTCAAGAAAGAAGAGAAAATTAGGTAAAAGGAAATCAAGATTAGAGGAAGAAAAAAAGAACAAGAGGAGGCAAGTGGACTCCTCTTTGGTGGAATGGAAGGATTGGAAGCCATAATACAAAGGCTTTTGGAAGGAAGGAACAACAGAGGGAAACGCATTCAACTTACAGAACCTGAAATTCGAAACCTTTGTCTCACAGCCAAACAAGTCTTCCTTCTCCAGCCTGTTCTTCTTGAACTTCAAGCTCCCATCAACATTTGTGGTATCTCTTTCTTTTTCTGTTATTTTTATATCTCTTTTATTGCTTCTTGTTTCAATTCAAAATTTTATTCTGTTTCCAAGAAAATTTGTCCATTTTCTTGACCTTAGAGTTGTATTCCTTGTGTTTCTTTTGAGGTAAGGATTTATGAGGATGATTATGGATATGAAATGCAGGTGACATACATGGCCAATATCCAGACCTCTTGAGACTTTTCGAGTATGGTGGGTTTCCACCAGACTCAAACTATCTCTTTCTTGGAGATTATGTAGATAGAGGAAAACAAAGTATAGAGACTATATGCCTTCTGCTTGCTTACAAGATAAAGTTCCCAGACAAATTTTTTCTCCTGAGAGGGAATCATGAATGTGCTTCTATCAACAGAATATATGGATTTTATGATGAGTGCAAACGCCGTTTCAGTGTCCGTCTTTGGAAAACTTTCACTGAATGTTTCAATTGTTTACCGGTGGCTGCAATAGTTGATGACAAAATTCTATGTATGCATGGTGGACTGTCACCAGAAATGGAGAGCATGGATCAAATTAGAGCCATAGAAAGGCCAATTGACGTGCCTGACCAAGGCCTTCTATGTGACCTCCTTTGGGCTGATCCTGATAGAGATATAAAAGGTTGGGGTGAGAATGATAGAGGTGTTTCTTATACCTTCGGAGCTGATAAAGTTGCTGAATTCTTGAATAAACATGATCTTGATCTCGTTTGCCGAGCCCATCAGGTATCTTCCTTCTCTATTCTTAATCTTCTGTTTCTGTATGCTTCTTGCTTCTTGACATTCATTTTAAAGCAAATTGTTGAAAATGATTAACAGGTAGTCGAGGATGGATATGAATTCTTTGCAGACAGGCAATTGGTTACTATATTTTCAGCACCAAACTACTGTGGAGAGTTTAACAATGCAGGTGCACTCATGTGTGTCAATGAAAGTTTGCTATGCTCATTTCAGATTCTCAAGCCCTGGAAAGGAAAAGCAGGAACTCCGGAATAGTATCCAATCGAACAGAGAGGCAACTCTTGTTCTTAGTGAACAAATATTGAGCTTCCACTTGAAAACAAGAGTCTATAATATAGGTTGATTCATGTAATTGAGAGATTATCAGAAAGAAAGCTGTGTATGTAAAATACCTTACGGGTCCAAGTTACAACTGCCTTGTACCTTTGAATCAAATAAGTGCAAATTCCCTCCATTTTGTACCTTCAAGTTCATATCCTGCTTGCAGCAATTTTCTGTGAATAGGTTACAGACATTTCTTACAGAATGCAACAGTTACAGACATGTCTTGCAGAATATGTTGCATTACCTTTTTTTGTGGCCGAATATATGAATTAATCCCTTAACTTTGAGAAATTTTATGACACTTTGAAATTCAAAATCGAACTTCTATCACGCTGAAATTTTTGTACTTTTATATGCAAATTATTAATTTAATATGTGGTTAGTACCACTCCAGTAACAATAATTTTCATGTATGTAACTATTTAATAAGAGTTTAGTTAATTTAAGTTTATAAATCTAGGCATTTAATAAGTCAATTAAAGTATTTAATTGGTTCAATTTTATAAAATGGGTCAATAAAAAATTGAGGATGTCGCTATTTTTTTTTGTGAAAAATACAATGGCAAATTTACGTATCAGAGTCCTTTCTTTTTTCAATGCATGTTAATCTTACATATAAGGGGGCATTAGGTTGCCGAAATCTCGTGGAAAAATGGATCATGAAAATTAAATTCTCATGTCTAGTTGGTATTTTCTAAGTAATTTTTGGAGGAAAGTTGAATTCCGGTGTCCAAACACCACCATAATACAATATGTAGATGGTTCTTTTTGCATATAGACCTGGAATGCCTAACTAACATACATACAGGCTAGGCAAAGTCCCAAAAGACCAATCAATAGCACTAAAAAATGGATTGATGATTTCAATTTCACTTTGCAGGAATTTCACTTCCATTACCTTCTTTACACAACCTCAAACTGCAGTAGAGACAGATGGTAGTTAACAAGCAAACATAATGCTTGCTTCACAAACAGAAAATAGAATACAAATTGATGTTACATGTGGGCATAATCTAAAACAATTTTAATGCTTCAACAAACTTTAACCTCTTCCCTTGCATCTTAATCAGACAGCCTAAGAACTACCAAATGTAGATCTACAAGAAGCTTAAAAAAAAAAAACTAATGGTACAATCCATTATGAAGGTGAGACAGGCATGAAAGAATATCCTGAAGCCATTCTATCTGCAGGCAGAAGCAAAGGCAAGCATGACAGAACACCTCTGGCTGTGGAATATTGTGCCAAGATCAAATTTGATGATAACCTGCACTTGAAGTTGCCATATATGAACCAGACCATGTCTATTAACAATGCAGGTGCCATTGCTGGTATAACAGGATCATCCTTCGCACACATTTATAGCATCTAGATACAAAGTAATGTGCTCTACGCTTTCAATTAGACCACACATGAACCAGCCCAAACCTATTACCAGTGTAGATCTCATTCCGCTCCTCATCGTAGAAAAGTGCAGTTATGTCTTCCAATGCCTCAGCAACTGTACTTCTCATAGAAGACTGACTCTGCTTTGAGCTACTGCTGCTGCACCCACCATCACGTTTGGGGCTGCCATTGCTGGCATTTATTTTGGCCAAGCATTTTCCTGTCAAGATGTTGCTGATATTGATCGAACCAGCTGCATCAAAAAAGCAAACTATGACATGGAGCAACTCCACTTGTGCATAATGTTCTCTTCACCACATCACAATGAAGACAACTGCCAAATAGAATTTGAAATAAAAAAAAGGGCCCAATTTGACGCTTGAGAAGTTGGACAAGAACAATATTTAATAAGTAAAAAATTGAAGGAACGCATAAGCATGAGGAACCTTTAATGTCAAATTATAACCCTGACCCAAAAATTAATAAATTTATACCAACTTCGTGCCATTTATACAGCTTTAGAATCAAATATTTATTCTCTAAACCAGCTTAGATAAATATCCATTGGCTAAAGACACTTAAATTGGGCTAGAAAAGAGAGAATAGTAGACAGTGGCTGCAAGTTGGCAAAGTTAATTCACAATAAACCAAAATCCCGACCCACCAGTAGGTTGTCAGTAACAATAAGGTAATAAACCCATCAGACCTACTGATGCCCCAGCCCCAGGCCAGTTCTAAGAGGCTTACTTGAGCAACAAACATATAACTTAAACCATTGGGATTTTAAATAGTATAAACAAAAATTTTACCAAAGTATCTATTAAGATTCAAAACTTTAGCAATGACCAGGTTATCCAGGTGGATTTTCCCTACATTGATGCATTCTGCTCTATGTCTAATGATGCATCCTTCAGAAATAACAGAAAATTATCATTAAAAAGAGAGCAATAATTCTGAAAGTCTGATCAACTATAATGATTTTCAAGTCAGCAAGAATCAAGCAATCTACCAGCTCAAACCATAAAATGTTAATCATTGATACTAGTTGTCAGCCAGAAGGGAGGAGGAAAAGTTACCGCTTCCTTCCATCCACTGGTCTTCAGATTCAGCTTTGCAATAAGAAATAATAAGATCCTGATCACTTGTTATATATATGTTATTCGTATTACAATCAGGATGCCATAACAGGTGATCTTCAAATGAAGTTACAAGCTCCCCTCGAAAATTCCAGACAGCAACAGTTCTATTTCTGAAAGTTAAGAACAACTGATTCTCATAGAGGAAGATAAATGCAGAGGGAGTCATAAACTCAGTTCTGCTAACTTCCATTAGCTCTGCATTTCGAACCTGCATAACAGGAAATACAGTTAAAGGCATACAAAATTATCAAGATGGCGAGAGGTTCCCTTGAATAGACACATAACTTACATCTAGAATCTGGAGATTCTCATTTTCCTGCTTGACAAGAAGCTTTTCATTAAATTGTTCAATGAAGTCCACCTTCTTATTTCGATGAAGTAGATGGTTGAAGGCTTTGAGAACTGTGCCATCTTCTATTGATAAAATCTTAAGAGGAACATGGCTAGTTGCTCTATTGAAAATCAACAGCATAATGCCCGGACTGATGCAGAAAATGAAACAGATTAGTGAGGAAGAAGATTGAAAGTAAAGCAGACTGAACAAACCAAGGGCCAAAAGATGGTACAGGTACACATTTCAAAACTCAATCGATTTTGGTAACTAAAATGTAGAAATATATGGCATTATTATGTGAAAGTCTAGAAGGATCGCGGATGTTAGGAATAACCACATATGAAGACAACCATGATGAACATGATTAGTTGCAATGCATCTGTTCTTGCCAAAGATTAAGAGAGTAAGGATTACTTTTTAGCTATATGTTCCTAGTACTAAAGCTCCATTAAAAATGAAAAACTGATCAGGAGACTGAGCATGTGTCAGTACATCATGCACTTTGGTGAAAATAGAGATGTGGAGAGAAAGATTACCTGATTTTGATTTCTTGTACATGTTTATCCGATATAGAGTACAGCATTGTATAGTTTTTAAGGTCAAAAACCTTGTACACGCTGAAACATAATTGTTAATTAACAAAGCATTAGAATTGGTAAAAATTTAGCAATCACACTCTAAATGCACAGGAAAGTTACCTGTCTTGTGCAGAGTAGGTCAGAACCTTTCCATTAACATCATCAAACTCTACAAATCCGGGCCATTTCAAGGATTCAGACTCAAAAAGAGCAAAACCAGCATCTGGCTTGCCCCTCCTTATGTACCTAACCATCCAAATACAAACACATGTATAATACAATTTAGTACATACAATACTGACTTTGGCAGTCAAACTGGAAAGAGATATATGGAACAAAAAAAGACATTGACATACTCAATTCTTGTTGATCTGCACTTCAAGGAGCTGAAATTGTCTGAAGCATAAACTGAAACTGTGATAAGTGAATCATTGTTCTTATTATAGAACAAGCTTCGAATCACTTCATCAGGACTCACATTTAAGAAACATATCCTCTGATTTGTCTCTGCATTTAAAATTGTCAGCAAAAGCATGAGATACAGCCATCTTCCTAGGAAATTTACGTGCAAAAAAAGATACTTAATGAATAATGATACTCAATATTTCTGTTATTACCTCTGCTAAAAGCTGCACACACACCAGAATGTGCAAGGGCAAAGACAATATCTCGTGCAGCCACAATCTCAATGACTTTAGTTCTCTTCATCAAAAAGGGAAGCACCACTGAGCAATGGCCCTTAGGGTCATGGGTATCATACTCTTCCTAATCAAAGTAAACCAAAAGAAAGTCTTACTTGAAATTAAAAGCAACAATAAAAACTCAGGACATTCCACGTCATGTCAAAGAGATGCAGGAGTTCATAACTCATAACTTTCTCTTCTGATGCACACCATTTTTATGAGCAAGCAAAATAAACAGACACTAACAAAAAATAGTTCCACATTCAGCCTGTCTATCCAGTAAGTAATTTGAGAAAAAACACACTTGGGCTAGTCTAACGTTTCCAAGCTTAATTTGGTCAATAACTAATAATTGTTTATCAGTAACACAAACAAACACATTCAGACTCCCAGTACAGAAATTCAGGGTGATAACTCAATAATGAACAAGAATTAGTAAAAATTCAGCTCATAAACAGGAATCAGCTTTTAAGAACAATTAAGAAATAGCAAGGATATATTATAAGTTGTACAGAAATTTCAAGGGCTTAAACATTAAGCAAAAAATTCAGTTTTTTTCTCTCTCTTTCAACATAAAAAACGATGCTTACCCAAATAAATACATTAGTGCAAGTCAAAGAAAAAGAGAGAAGATACCATCAAACGCATATTGCGAAACCTCTCCTGGGCATTGCTCATACTAAAAGCGCGATCTCGCTTAGAAGAAATCTCGCGTCTCTGTAACTTCTTAACGGTGTTAACAAATCCATTGGAGCGAGGTCTTTTCCTCGCCAATATCCTCCTTCCCGAGCACGGCCTTGGATTCGCCGATATCCTCCGTCCTTCCATCCTCGGATGAAACTTTTATTCCACAGCCGACGGAACAGAGAGACGGAGGAGACCTTTATTTTTCCCTCTCTCCCTCAATCTCTCAAACTCTCTCCACCTTTGATATTGATTCGATCCTACTAATAAAAGCCCTAAAACATAAGAAACAAAGAAACAGCAACTCACTACTCAAACTCCCTCAAACCCTAAATTACAGAAATTGAAACTAGCAAAAAGAATGAATTTCGATTAATTTAGCAGACAAAGCACTCTCTTTCAATCTCTATCGATCGCTGGCTGTTTGAATCAGCCACTACTGTTTGCCTATGAGAGATTAGGAGATTGTGGAGAGGAGGAAGATGTATCCCTACAACTTGTTACCAGGTTTTCTTTTTTCTTTTTGGTCTGTGAGAGATGTACTAACTACAGTTTGCCTGTGAGAGATTATATTTCTTGTTTGCCTATCAAATTTAAATTTTGCTGAAAAGGACAAAAAAAAAAACACAGCTGTGGGTAAGGATTTCATTTACTTTTACTTTATATTACTACTTATTATTAAATTATTAAAGATTACTGTATCTACTAATTGTTATTTTATAATTTTTTTTAATCTATTATTTTATAATCTTTCAGATAATGAGAATATTGAATTTGCTCTATAAAAAAAAAAAAAAAAAAAAAAGAAGACTACCATCAAAACGCAATAATATGCCGGAAACCTCCCTGGGCATTGTCATACTTAAAAGCGCCGATCTCGCTTGAGAAGAATCATGCGCGTCTCTCTGTAACTTCTTCAACGGTGTTAAACAAAGGATCCATTGCGAGCGAAGGGTCTTTTCCTTCGCCAATATCTTTCACTTCGCCGAGGGCACGGCCTTGGATTCCGCCCGAATATCCTCCGTCTTCCATCCTCGGATCGAAACTTTATTCCAGCCAGACTGAACAGAGAGACGGAGGAAGAACCTTTATTTCTTACCCTCTACTCCGCTCAATCCTGCTCAAACTCTCTGGCCACCTTTGATATTGTTGATTCGAGTACCTACGTAAATTAAAAGCCCTAAAACATAAGAATTACAAAGAAAAGAACAGCAACTGCACTACTCAAAGCTCCCTCAAACCCTAAATTACAGAAATTGGAAACTAGCAAAGGAAAAGAATGAAAGTTTGCGATTAATATTAGCAGACAAAGCACTCTCTTTTCAATCTCTATCGATCCGCTGGCTGTTTGGAATCAAGCCAACGGTAACCTGGTTTGCCTATTGAGAGATTAGGAGGATTAGTGGAGAGGGAGGAAGATGTATCACCTACAACTGTTAACCAGGTGGTTCTTCTTTCCGATTGTATGGGTCTAGTAGAGATGTACTATACTACAGTTTAGCCTTGTGAGAAGATTATATTTCGGTTGTATTGCCTAGTCAAATTTAAAATTTTGCTGAAAAAGGACAAAAAAAAAAAAACACAGCTGGTGGGTAAGGAGGATTTCATTTAGGAACTTTACTTAGTATATTAACTAGAAAACTATATTATTTAAAGATTATGAAAGAGATTTTACTGTATCTACTAATTGCTTATTTTATAAATTTTTTTTTAAATCTATTATTTTATAGGATCTTTCAGATCAATGAGAATATTGGAATTTGCTATAAAAAAAAAAAAAAAAAAAAACAACAAGAGAAACCTTTTACTTTTCCAAAAGTGAACCTGCAATCTGTTTTTTCCTTATTGGTACTAAAAAAAAAAAAAAAAAAAAACAACAAGAAATGACCTTTTCTTTTCCAAAAGTGAACCTGCAATCTGTTTTTTCTTTATTGAGTACTATTTTCAATTAGACCACAAATAAGTTTATTCTGGAAATAATTGTAGTATTTGGTAACCGAAATCTTAACTTTTAAATTACATTTATTTATTGAAATCAAATTGAATCTATCTTATTTCGATTTAATAATATTCACCATGTATAACTGCACATAGTTTTAATTCATTCTTCTATCACTAAAATTAAGTATTCTATTGCATTTTGATAATAATAATAATAATAATAATAATAATAATACAAATATTGAAATATATTGTTTATTTTAGAACTTTGTAGCGTGTAGTGTATATATAAAATAATTCCCTATTGTTCCATTTCATCAGTACTTCCACCTAAGAATTTCAGATTAAATTCAACTTACGGATCAAAATGATTAGAAAAAATTCTAGAAAATGCCTTCCACGATTGCCTATTAAATTTCAGTGTCATTTGTAATAGCATAAAAGAACATGCTCGCCATCAAATGTGAGGAGATTCATTTTCTCGCAAGGCTCACATTTTCTTTTTACTTGCAGATTGGAAAGAAAAATAGAAGTTGGCAGAAAAGATTGCAAAAGGAACAAATAATCAACTGTCAGAACATGATTAATTATTTACTGGAACAAGGCTCTTCGCCCATTTCGCATAATCTAACTAACTCCTTTTGATGCTTTTACGTTTTTTTTTTTTTCTCTCTCTTTTTCTATTCTGCATCTTTTCATTGTTCTTGGCACATGCTCCTGCACCCCAACAAATGGTCAACAAATTAATTTTCCTTTCGAGAGAAGACAGCTATGGCCAGGATAAAGATATGTGTTCCTACTCCCTACCCTCTGTCTAAGATCGGACCATATGTCTGTAATGTTTCTTAATTCTCCTTTCTGAATAACAAAAGAGGATTATGTGATCAGGATGGACATGGTGAAAGATTCAAAAATTGCTTACCTGCACCAAGAACCTCTTGTCCCCTTTCTAGCAGCAAAATCTGCAAAGCTAACTCTACAAGAGCGAGAACTAAGTCGTCATTATGATCAAAATTCAATTTCGCCAATTTCATTCAAAAGAACTTGAGGATGGAAAGATGGTGAACACTCTGCTTTTAGCTCAAACCTCAACTGAGTACATTGACCAGTTCAGCAACAGAGCCAATGGCTGCAACACCACCTCTTTCGAGCAAAGAGAGAGCCAATTCACATTCATGCCATCCTCTTAATCCACTGGCCAATTTCTTCAGAGTTTCCAGCCTTACTTCTTGAATCCAGGCTGGAGTAAAGCTCACCATTAAACACAATAAGCAAGAGACATAAGCTTTCCAAGTGGCTGGATGACAGCCAAGTGATATGTTCCCCTCCAGAGCTCCTGCCAAAAAGTCCATGTGGGCACTGATAGTAGAGGCCCTTCTAGACATCGCCCATGGTGGAGATCTTGCCCCAGCGCTCCATACAAATGATCCTGACAGGATCAACATGTATGCCATTGCATATCCTTCCACTATACGGGAAACAACACTCAACTTGCCATGTTTCACTTCTCTTGATGAGAGCAACCAGGTTGGAATAGTCTCCAGGTAAAGCTCTTGGACCAGATTCACCCCACCTGTAACGCAAATGAGGCTTGCTCCCAGCATGGCTGCCTCCCTTGCCGTTGTAGCAGCAAGGGATAAAGATGCTTGGCTAGACTTCAGGCGAGAGGAGTTTTTGCTTGCCCATCTGGCAGCTGAACCCATAGCATGCTCACCAACAAGACTTATGATCACGCCATTTACATATTGAACATCTTGAATTGTCCGACAACAGCGAAGGTAAAGGAACCCTGGTGCTAGGGATCCAGAACCACTAGGAACCCCAATAGTGCTCCCCAGCAGACCACTTACACTACTCCGATTTGTTAACAAAGATGTTGAAATGTCAACTGATCCCAGGAATGATGAGAAGGAACTTCGCAGGAGCTGTGCAACTGCTTCTTTATTTTGCCTGAATACAGAGCGAGCACATGATACAACTATGTAATCATGCCAGCGACGGACCTTTTGGGCCCACAGACACCCAATTGTAGGAGCACTGGGCCAAGGGCAACCTGATGCACAGTTCTCCAAGGCTGGACCAACCACAGCATGAATGTGATCAAGGCCCTTGTGGAGTTTGAAAGTAATAGTTAAGCTAACAAGAGCTGCCATTGGCAATGGAAGCATGACAGGCAAAGGCCCTGCAATGCAAGAAATTACACACGCTTTAGCTAGGAAATATGTATACTTTGTCTTGTAGTACATTTATATATACTCATCATTAAATTTGTAGTTTTCATCCAAATATTAGAAGGCAGTTCTATTGCTGAATGGTAAAATATTAGACAACAGGAGAAACCAAAAGAGCAAAGGAAATATGAACTTCAAACAAGTATGGACCACAAAAGGCTTCATGAAAACAAGGCCAACTCAGAAAGCAGAGAAATTCCAAGCAAGATCCCTCCACCAAATGATACTTAAACTATAAAGGGAAACAATCTACCAGCTCTCTATGAGTCGTGTACAGACAACATGTTGTTTAGCAAAAAGTCTAAGCTTGAAATTGGTAGGTGATACATATTCAGAGCATAACCACTCCAAGCAAAAACATCAAAGGTAGGATTCTTCTTTCCAAGTAACCCACTTCAGCAAGTGCATAACTGAGCAATTGCCTTCCCAAGTTATAACACATATATGCACCCCCAAAGGTGCAAAATTCCTTGCACAAGGCTTGTTGTTGCTCGAGTGAAATTCAAACATATGCATTTATAAAACACCAATCGAAAGTGAAATTAGAATATAACTAAAAGCAAAAGGATCTGTTGAAACCTACCAGAGAAAGAGCTTGGATAATTAACTCCTGCAGCAGAAAGTATTTCTTTCATTTCAGACTCAATATACGGAAGGAGGGCTGCTGGACTAGGCCAATCTGTTCCATTCATCGGTACTGGTTTCCACGTACCCCGAGTAACTTCTGCAGCGAAGTAACTGATAATAACTCCAAGAGATGCCGGAAGAAAGTCAATGAGGTCCCTCAGGCCTGCAAGCATTCAAAAGCTTTAAAGCGCTATGCTGAATAATTAAAAACAAACATCACAGAAGAGATCAGTTTTAGCTCCAATAAGATGATCCATTCTTCTACTAATCAAAATGTAATAATTTCAAGCCAAAAGGATTGGTTAATCAACAAAAAGAAGAATAAGAAGAAAATCTAAAAAATTACTAAGCAAAAAAGATAAGCTAGCTTTTAACAAACCAGTTGTCAAATCACGAGATGAAAGCCTTCCATGAGCACAGGCTGTTAAAATGGCCTCAAGCACAAAAGGTATAGCCTCCAACACTTCCCATGCAGGATGCATGGGTTTCTGGTAAGGATCTCCTCCAGTGCTTGAAGAGGTTGATACTGATGAGGAATTCCCAGAAGAGGCCTCATTTCTAGTCATTTTTGAGTAAATCATGCTTAAAATTTTGTTAGCAACCTGATGAACAGGATTTCCAGTAGAAAGCCCAGCAACTGTTGAAGCTATGCATGACTTGTTTTGACAATACCAAGCTCGTAATTTGGGATAAAAGTCAATATATACAGGTTTAACAGCTGTGGGTTCAAACTGGACTGCATCACCATTGATTTCACGTGTAGCAGCAGAATTATGTGGTTCAATGCGGCCATTACGCAACAACAAAAGATACTCTAAAGTAAGCTCAGTTCCCAAAGCTCCTCCTCCCATACATTGATCAAGAGGAGGTCTGTAGAATTTCCACAGACGAAGAAGAAAGAGAAAAGCTGCAGAAAAAACCATGTAAATCGAGGGCTCATCACCTGAGCTTGATACATTATTTGATATAGGCATAAGTGACCCAAATGTCTCACAGAGAGGCATTAAAGCAGCCGCAACTTCAGGAATCTGTATGAATAGAAACACACAATCCATTAGAATGCAAGGATATGCTACTTTCAATTGTTTATTGAGATACACATTAGGAAGCAGGAATCCTATGTGTTTATTAAGATGCAAACACGAAGAGATCATTAAGACATAAAAGAAAAGCAGTGTTCAAACAACAGAAAAATCCATGGAGAATAAGTGAAACTCCAACCACCCAAAGGGTCAGCATCTGTGCTTTAGCCCCCTTTGATCCTCAAGTAACACAAGATAAAGAGTACGTCTACCAGAGGTTTACATCACCCACCAAACAGCTATATTTTCAAGATAGCCATCTAATGGCAGTTCCCTTGCCGTTGCATGTTAAAAAAAAACTATAATTGCAATTCGCAAGACAGTCAACTAAAGAATACCATATGGAATCAAGTCAAACCAGCAGACAGTGTTAGTACAATTTTATCTCATATCTTCCATTTCCTTATCAGCAAGAGTCTAAAGGCAGATCCAGTTTGTAGTAATGACAAAAAAGACTCTATTGAAGTATTTCACTTACAACACCATGCAAAGAAAGTATATGGACATTATCAACTGATGAAGCCCCAAATAGAATTGCGCTTAGCATGGGCACATAATCAACCAAGTGACTCCCTTGTCCACTGGGGGCTGAAGGCAGAGGAGGAGAAAGAAGCTTCACCACATGGTGCACCACATGTTCCTATGAAGAAGCAAAAAGTATCAACAACAGATACAATTATCTCAAATACATATAAGTGGTAAAATCAAGTGTTCGAAGGTCCTAAAAGATTAAAAGGATAAGTTCAATCAAGAAATTCTACATCAATAAACAGATAACACTGCTCTTCTCATAATCTCTAAGTCATCAAGAAAGCACCAACCACATTTAGCAATGTTATTTACCCAGTTTCGGGGATGAGACTAGAATGAAGAACAGGTCCTTGCTGACCCCAGCTACATCTAGGTAGGTCCACTCACGAGAAACTACACAAGCAACATCTAGAATGCTTCTCAAATATAAAACTCAACCATCTTTCTTCCCTCTCTATCTTTCTGGTGGCTTTCATTTATTTTCTAACTTATTGTGCCTTTCTTACTTAGTTTCTTAGTTATAAATAGAGTAAAATAAAAACAAATGATTCATATAGCCACCTCAACTAGTTTCGGATTAAAGCTTAGTTGTTCTTGTTGTCGTCATTGTTTATTCTGTTTAATGCTGTGTTTGGGTCACAATTTGGGAAGGAAAGCAAAAAAATTGAAGGAAACTAAAGAGGGAAAATATAAAAGAATTTCCTCTTGATGTTTGGATGTGCAAGAGGAAAATGTGGGGGGAAGTGATTTTATAAATAGTGAAATTATGAAATTAACCTTTAGTTTTTTTTTTTTTTATGAAACTACAACAATAGGGGGCGGGATTGTAATTTTAATTATTTCCTCTAGCTTTCCTCCCAAAATGAATAGAAAATAACATGTGGGCCCCAAAATTTATTTTCCCTTCATATTTTCTTCATTCCCAAACAAGTGAAAGAAAGAAAATTTATTTATTTTCCTTCTCAATTTTCATTCCTGTAATATTTTTCACCAATCGAAACATGAACTAAGCTTCAATTCTGGAACTTTCAAAAACATACACCACTATTTCCCAAAATTAACTAACTTCTCTTAACATAAGTTCAGTTTCTATATAACATCGTTGGAATGTAGTCTTACAAATTTTAATTATTTGTTTAACCATATAACACTTGTCACAGGTCATTGGCTTAGGCAGTGAAGAGGTAGTCAAACCTTAATGGGAAAGAAAATTAAAAGCAGAAAGCTACAAACGCCTAAGGTGTGCTTATGCATTCCTGAAAACTCTTGAGATGAAATCATCTAGATGTAAAGATAAATACTACCTTAAGTATCTCTTGACCATTCATTTTTATGATAGCACTTTTACAGTTCATGTTGCTACCAGGTTCATTTCATTTTATTTAAGGGTTCTGTTGTTTTAAAGTCTCTCTTGACTATTTGTTTTCATCACAACATATATACAGTTCATATTAAGTTCATTTCATTCTATTGATTTTTATTCTCATTCACCAGTACATTAATAGATAAGTAGCTTAGTAGACTATGATTTCAGATTATACTAAATGGAAGGCATGAGCAGTACTTTACTCATTCAAAGTGAAACACTAGATCATTATTAAATTTTCTTGGATTTTATGAGATTCAAAATGATTACTTTCAGTTGTTAAAGAAAATGTCAAAGCTTAAAGATTTTCATGCGAAGCTCCAAAAATAATCATATTGAAATGCTTATCATTGAAGTGTATATTCTACCTGAATATTCCATCCACGGGTTAGGGATGCACCACAGAGAATTTTTGCAGCTGCTGACTTCTCCTCTCCTGACCCATTTAATGCAATATGATATAACTTCTCTATCTCTGCTAAACTTTAGCAGAAACAATGAAGAAGATCAAATTAATTAACATCTTTCCTAATCTGAAAGTTAAATTGGAAATTATTTATTTACCTTGGAGCAGGAGTAATGAGAAGCAGATTTATAAGAGTATTAGTCAATGGCGCTCCTTCCATAAAGGTTAACCAAGGAGATTTTTGAATTGGTGGTAAATCTGACATTGAGAGAACTGAAGCAGACACATAGCCAGGCCAATAATACACTGATACATCAATTAAATTTCTTGCAATGCAAGCTTCTACAATGAGGTGCCTCATGTTTCCACCTGAAAAGGATAAACAAATTGCTAAAACAACATTTACAGAATCAGAAAGGAAAAAAGACAGTCAAGTTCTTGTATTGGTCATAGTTGTCAAAGGTGCATATGTACTGGGCACTAAAGACAGTGCCTCTACTAGGGTTAGATGACTAGGCAACATCAGAGACATGCCCTTTATTCCCAAGGCAGTTGCCTTATGCGGGTAGCTACGCATATAAGAAATGGATGCTGCCAAAACCTTCCCCACTGATCTAGCTCTCTCCCCAGTCGAAGTTACCACCATTAGACTCGTAACTTCCAATCTGCCAAAATCTGGTGTCAATATTTGAGAAAATCACCTGAAAACCCATCACTGACCCAGGAAAATCAATTCAATCCTACTTAAGCACCACCTCTGGAATTGCCTACCACCAGCACTACCATTTCCAACATCCGCATACCTCGAATCTCGCCAAAAAGCAGCTTTTTTTGACAGGTCCTCTCTCTTCCTCTGTTTTTCTCTGCACACATTGCTTCCTTTGTTTTTTCCACTAATTTTTTTTTTTTTCTTCTAAATTCAAACAGATCCCTTTTATCTCTTCCTTGACCACTGATGCATTCCATATTAATTTCTTCCCATCTTTTTATTTGTGCAAGCAAATGACAGTAGTACAACCAGAAGAAGAATTAGAAAATGTCCTGACAGTTGATAATAACATTAGGTCGTTGCAGAATTATTTAGGAATCAATGGTCGCATGACAGTATCACCAATTACAAAGGAAACAAGAAAAGTTCTAAAACTTACATAAATTAGAGTTTAAGGTGGCCTACTTGTAAATTGTCCATATGGACCAATAAATAAAAGTCTGGAAGTTGTACTGTTATGCATATATATGATATGTGCATATCAAACAAATCGACAAGTTCTTCAGACTTTCAGTTGCCTGATGCTAATATTCTGAATTTGTGATCTAGTACAAATTCACGCACATGTATATGTATGTATGCGTGTACTTGGATAAGAGAATCTTGCTCCTAAGTTCTAAGACCCACCAAGCGATAATGAATTGCAATAGTGAAAGTGAAGCACATAATTTCCCAGTTACCTGCATTGATAGGAGGATCAGCATGACTACCATCACCTAAACCATTCTTTGCATTGTTGGAATTCGAAATAAAAGTTGCTGCCTTTGCAGCAGCAAGGTTAGCTGCACCAATAACAGATGCAGGAGGGCATAAAAGACCAGAGAAGTCTCCAAGGACCTGGAGAGATGAAACAAGTTCTTGTTTCCTCAAATTTTGACTATTCACCTCTGTCCGATTTTTGAACCTTGTCTCCATATGTCTAGATGTTCCAGCTCCCTGAAGAGAAGAGAAAGAGAGCCCAGCCTCATCCTCCAAAATATTAGCAATTGCCAAGGGAACGATAGTTAAAAGGACACAAAGACGAGACTCAAGATGTGGAATAGGGCCTTCCACAGGGTCACGTTCCTGGGGAAAAAAAGACACGAAGCAGAGTATAAGTATTGTCCATAATTTCATGCATATATATTCTCCAAGAAATGTTGACGTGGGATCTCAACTCGTTGGACAAGCCGAAGGGCTGAAAGCCAAAGTGCAAGGAATGTTTCTTGCCACCTTGCACAGTTACACACTTGGAGTGTCTTAATTATTTCTGCAGTCATGACATACAAAATAAGAGATGAGAAAAGAGCTTGCAGTTCCCAAATATAATATTTTATTTTTCTCAAAATATAAATAAGCAAATAAAACCATCAAGTATCTGTGTTTGCATGTGTGACCAAATCAAAATAACCCTTCAAAAGAATTTACCTGTAAGTATAGCAATAGATGATCTAATATGAAGCTGTTTCCCATCCATTACATTCTCCATGTAAATGTCAAAGGGAACCCAACAACCAGATTTCCCAGATTCCGAATTGCAAAAAGACACAGGCTTGCACGCTTTAATATCAATGAGCATTCGAAAGATCTGGTGCCTGCTTAACTGGTATTCAAAATCATAAACTCTCTGAATATTGGCAGACAATCTTTCCAAAAGCTGGTTGGCAGGTTCCATATTAGAGGATACTAATTTGTGGGCTTTATAAAACAATAGCCTCTGCAGGAGGCCATTGAATATTTCAGGCCTATAAAAAAAAAAATTAAAGCCATAAAAGAAACAGGAGTGGCATTTAAAAAATTCCTGAACAAAGATAATTTCTGGATGATGACTTTTTTATCATGTGCAAACAACTCAAGTATATGATAGTTTACCCAACTTCAGTTAACATTTGCTTCTGTCAAATTCCTAACAGGAGGAAAGAACAAAACATAGAAACATAACAGCCACTAGATTCTCACTCTACATATTATTGCCCAGCTGTTGATGCATCTATTAAACATAAAGGAAATGTGAAATTGAACTTTTTAATTTCAAGGAGGCATAGGCAGTTCTTCGATATGCATATTGGGCACATCTCAGTTGTAAGAGAGCAACCATGAGCATCACAGAATGTAATAAAATCTGGAAAATAATTGGCAAAGCAAACATTAAAACCTTGTTGGCTATGGGCATTCTCCATAATGATATGCAGATAAATGATGCTTACTGTTCAAGTTCGTGCAAGTTAGAACAGTAAACCATTTATAAATTTAACAAATTATAGAGAGTTGACTCACACACATTTATGCTTACAAAGATATATTCCCTGCTCTGCCATACCTTACCCTAAGAAACCAAGCTCAAAGGTAGAGGAGCCATCATGAGGTACAAGTTGAGAGGCAAAGAAAGAAATGCCGCTTAAAAAATGCATATCAAAATTAGTAAAAAAGTAATAACTATGCGCTATCAGCTGTCAAAACAATCTATAGAGCAAGTATTATAATATTTGTCAATTTGAGCATCATAAAAAAGTACAGAATGCAGTTTGGATACAGAAAAAATGTCCATGCAGAGTTAAAATTATAAGGCAAATTAAATGAAGAATGATGAACACATACATGTTCAAGTGAACAATGCGGAGTATAACCAAGGCTTTTCTACTTTCAATTAGTTTGGCCACCACCTCTAAGGCAAAAAAAGAATTTTTTTTCCTTAAAAGTTCACGATGCTCATATCTTCCAACGCTGCAATTCCCTCTAGAATCAATGTCCATATCCTGGTTATCAGCATTTCCAAATAGCCCACTTGATAAATCTGGAGACTTCACTAATAAACCCCAGTCACTGAATGTGCAGTCAATCAACCCAACAACAATGCTAAAAAAGAACAACACCAGAACATGTCCTAGCTCGATAAACTGAACTCTATAGGTATGAGATAGCTGAAGAGCAACATCAATCGATTTTATCATCCTACAAAACAGAAGAAATTCACAGGAAGCAGACACCCTTAATTTAAGGAAACAGAAGAATATTATCAACCATTTATTCCTAATAGTAAAGCCCGAAGTCGAACTACCTCTACCTACTATCTCCTCACCAAATTTAAATAGGCACGAGCACAGATGAACAGAGGGGTAATAAAATAGGATTACACATACTTCTCTTTGCAAGCTTCTTCGCCAATTGAATCAAGTGAAAATGCATAACGGCTGACCAATTCAAGGTAGAGTCTATAAGCCTCCGGTTGAGACCGTCGATTAGGTATAACTCTGCAAAATATACACTATTAAATGAAAAGAAAGAGAAACCAAATGTAACGGCATGTAAAGAGAAAGAGACAGAGTAGAACCGAGCAGAAAGGAGAGAGAGGACGTGGATAGGACAGAGAAGGTGAGAAGAGAGAGCTTGTTGGAGAAACTTCCATACAGAAGGATGATTATTGTTGAAGCAGAGATAGGAAACCATAACTTCCCCTAAATCAGGACTAGGCATTGTAATCCCCAAAGAGATGAGGCATTTAGCAACTTCCATTGCACACACCAGAGGAGGCTCTTGTCGTTGTTGGCAACTCTTGATCGTCTCTATAATCCTTTCCTTCATTTCGCGCTCTTTCTTCGTCTCCACCTCCATTACCGTAAAGTTCAATTTAATGTTGTGTGTGTGGAAACGGAAGCATAAGAGCAACCAGTCTTCTTCTACATAGAAAACCACAACTTGTGTTTTTGATTTGGTGTCACGTGATCGGCACCCACCCCTAGTCCTCTCCGCCCCTCCTCCGAACTTCAAGGTCAGTCCTCCCTCTAATTGTAAATTTTTTTTTATTTTTTTTGAGAATAGTTGTAATTAAATTATTATTATTATTATTATTATTATTTATTATTGACTAGATTGAAAATATATTTAATTAACTAGTGCCCGTTTGTACGACGCAATACGCAGCGTCACCTACTACAGCGTGCCAGTTTTACCGATCAAATCATGCCATTGAATTACAAATTTCCGTGAGATGAATTAACAAAAATATAAATGCACCGGAGTAAAATACTCACCGAAAATGCTCTATTTTTTAATGGACAAATCGATATATTTTAATTCAGTTTAATATCAAAATAGATATATTATATATGTATTTAGTTTCTTTATAAAATTGTATTTTCTGAATCATATATATATATATATATATATGTTTAGTTTGATTTTGATGTACATTAAGAAAATTTGAACAATCTGTTAATTTTTTATTTTTAGGCTTTTTTTTGAAAAAAAACACCCCTCTGTTAATGATTGTAATTAGTACATAATATAATTGAGAATATAAATATTTATTGAATAATGATATTAAAAATTAACAAAAAAAAAATATCTTTTAAAGGAGAAAATATAACTATACTTACAAATTAAAAAAGAAAGTGTGGCTATATATATATGGAATGAAAAAAATAATTCTTAAAAAAATTACTCATGAAAAGGCAATAATTAGCCACTTCAAAATTATAATAGTGTCGTAGTTAAAAAAAAAAATGAGATATTTGTAGTAATATTCAAAAAAGTAAAAAGTATTTAAAAAAAAAGAAAAGACTGTTGAATTTTATAAGTTGTTACAGGTTACACTTCTAGAAGTCAATTAATGTTTAGGATAATAAATGCACACATGATGCTAATCTATTTTTTATAAGACTATAAATTATAGAAATTTTCATTAATTTTTTTATAAGAATATAAGCCAATAAAAAAAGTCGAGTATACTGAGAAAAGCAGGTATGGAAAAACATTAGCAAATCAAACTTATATTAACTTTAATTCAGAATTTGATTGATAACGATAGAGCAAATAATAAAAAGGAGATTTTTTAATTAGAAAGATAATAATCCACAAAAAAAAAAAAATGCGCGGCATAAAGTTTTGAATTCCAAACTCTAAACTAACTGGCACATCAAGATATAGTCTATTAATAAGTGTATATATGATCTGATAATTAATTTAAATTCGAATTTTCTTCACACGACACAAAAAAAAAAAAATAGACGTTGAATAAATTAGATGTTAAAAATTTAAGTGCGTAAAATGTTAAATATGGAATAATATGATTGGTAAAGATTTTATTAGGCCTATTTTGGTAAACTTCATGATGGCCCTGGTAAGATACCAAAGCCCATTGAAATTTACACTTCATATGCCCAACAATTTGAGAGTGATTTAAGCCCAATTAAATAAATCAACTACAAGAAAATACATGTTTTAGGGATAGAATGAAAATTGAATTCTGAGTTGAAAATGGTAAATAGGTAAAGTTCTAAGTTATAAGAAATCTTCACATAACCAAGCAAAAACATGAAATTAAGAGGTTTGTCCTAAGAGCAAGACAAGCATGAAAACAGGAAATCTATGCGAGAGAATGAGCTATTTTATTTGTTTGTCTTGCCTTAATTCTCAATACAAAGATAAATAGAAAGGTTTTGACCATTTCAATATTGCAGAAAATCAAAACGTGATCTATACACAAGATTTTTTATTATTATTATTTTTTTGACTGGAGAAAAATTTTTACTTTAAAAAAATAGAAGTTAAAATAAAGCATTTTATAATTGATTGATGCAACTTCTAGATAAACTGAAATTTAATATTATTACTTTATTAGGTTACATTATCAAAAGTACTATAAATGTGTTGTTGTTTAAACATGACGCGTCAAGCTCTAATAATTCTATTATTTATAAATATCAAATTCATATATTTCACACATGAAATCTTTTGTCCGCTATTTTAAAGTAGAGTTAGGACTTATTCTAATTTTTTTAACATGGAAATTTAAAAATTTAAAAATTCCAATTGATTTAATATGAGAAGTCCAACTTTAAATGTGTTAGTATTGATCAATTTGGCTCAATTTGAAAAAATAATTAAAATCAAATAATTAATTTTCATAAAAAATTAAATTGAACTGAATCAATTTTATTTTCTAATTTTTTAATTTAATTTAAGAATTATTTTTATTTCGAATCAATTTGAAATGATCGAAATCAACAAATTAAAATAACTAAAAAAAAAATTCAAATTTTAATTCAATCTGATTTAATCCAAAAATATTCTGATATTTTGACTTTATTCAACACGATTATACTCGAATTTATAGTTTTCTGTTCTGTTTGTTTCTTGGCTTTTGTTTTATTTATTTATTTATTTTGTTTTCTTCATCTGTGAATTAAAAAACACTAAATTATAAAATTAAAATAATAAAACGGAAAACGAGTGCTTCTGGAAGCACGGCAACTCTCACCAACACACGGAAAGAGGTGCACCACGTTTGCTTTAACAGGCCTCAACTACCGCGAGGGTTCTGAAAGCCAGCCATGCCAACAGGTAGTTAGTTACCAGTTACTGTTAGCTTTGTTTGAAGTATTTCTGCGATTAAAAAAAAAAGAATTACCTAATTTTAATCTCATTTATCGATGTTAAACAAAATTAGTTTTTTTTAGAAATAAAATTTAATTAATAAATTAAGTGTTGCAAATATTCAATTAGATTATACATACAATTTATTATTATAAAATTTGCTGATATTTTCTTAACAAATTAAAAAAATTATCTATAGTATTTTAAATAATAAATTAAATTTAAAAGAGATTATATTAGATTTTTTTTCATTTGTTAAAAGATATAAATTCTTATAATAGTAACCGAGTCTTTAATTTATTTGAATGACAAGATAATTCCTCAATTTTTTATATTTGTATTGTTCTTTGTATCTGATGTATATAGATAATTTTCTATCACAATACATCAATAATATCAATGGAACAAAAAGCCGTTCTACCATGCTCTAATGGTCAAGATCCACGTCTATAAATAAAAAATTAAATTGTCTAACCAAATAAAATTAAATATCACATCTTTATTTAATAACAAATTCTCACAAGATAACAATAATAAAAAATAAAGAAAAAACATATGGAAAAATATACTTAAGTTTATGAAAAGTGAATATAAGATTGGGAGGGAAAGAAAAAGTTGAAATAAAGCACCACCGTTGATTAACAACGGTGCCCAAACTAAAATTACGGTTAGATTCAAAAAATTAATTATTTTCTAAAAAACATTTAATATTTTTTATTAGTATATAAGTTCATCTCGTTATTCTAATACTGAATATTAAAATGATTAAATGTATTTAAATTTAAATAGAGGGGCAATTGGAATTTTAATATAGCCCCGTTCTGGAATTTGAGGTTTGATACAAAAAATGATATGATATATAGTAAAATACACATTTAATTTCTATTTTCGACTTCAAATAAATTAAGTAATCAATTTTCCTTGGTCTATGAGTTTCTAAAACGAAAAATTTATCAATTCTCAAGTGTTTACAAATAAGTAATAACCACCTCTTATAATATATTCTGGTTTATAGACAATGCATCTTAAATTGGATTAAAGTGTATAACACTAAAATTGTGTTCAGTAACAGTTTTTTTTAAAAATTATTTTAGCGTTTTGATTCAAAATGCTAAACGCTATTTTTTTCATAGTGTTTAATAACAATAAATTTGAATTAGCTTTTAGAGATTAAGATAATATTTTATAAAAAACCGTTTAGCTTTTAGTTTTTAGCGTTTTATGAAAAGCCACTAAAAAACAACTAATAGCTAAACATTATTAAAACAGTTAATTTTGTCGAACATACTCTAATATGTAAAACCTCAATACCTGCTTAAAATGCATTCCCAAATATATAAGCTATTAAAATAGAATTATTTTTTTCAAAAAAGTAAAAGAGGAGGGAAATTATGAGTGGTTCAACGTTATTTTCCTTTAAATGAAATTAAGATCATAATTTATCTTAATCCAATGAATTAAAAATACCCATAATTAATATCAAAAAGAAAAAAAATATAATTGAATGATCAAATTAATATTATTTTGTACTTGTCATCAAAATTGAATTTCTTCCCTTCCATTTGATAATTGAAAGTTTTCTACCGTTGCACTTTGAAATGTAGGAATTTAGGTCCATTCTGCTTACCATAGTAAAGTTTTCACAGCTAGAAGAGTATATTCAAACCCATAACCTAACTTTTACTACTCAGAATGACAATACTTACCCTAAACTTAGTCTAAACTAAGTCATAATCCCAATAAGTTGGATTCATTCATCTACTCCTTTGAATTCTCTGCAAAGATAATTTTCTTGTCTTTTAACTTATATATTCCAATTCCAAGATCACTAAACAAGACTAGCAACTGCACCAATAATTAATTTCACTTATTATTAAGTTAAATTCTTCATGATAACTGGGGATTTAGACCTCCTACCTAAAACATTTTCTTTAGCTATTTTAAATTCTAATTACTGTAAGGAAGTCACAATAATTCTTGATTTTTAAATTTCTTTATTCCATATGTACAAACATATATATATAATACTAAAATTCTTGCACGCAATCTTGAAGCATGTTACTTTCCAATAGGTTTCAGTTTGGGGCAAGTATCAGTATCTTATTTTCGATGATAGAGCTGACAAGGATGTGTCATTTACTGCTGCAATTAAGACCAGTAAATTAGGTATTAGCAGCCTATTTTAGAAACAATTTACATTAGTCTGCTTATATGACTTCACAACCGCGTAGCTGGCGTGGTCTTAGTTCCTCGAAGTCCTAGTCCCTTTGGAAAATGAACCGAACAAATACTAATACATTCAATAAGACTGTACTAAAATTAAATATTTTAATAGCTGTTATTTAATTTTAATATTTTAATATTTTTTTTTCATTGAATAATTATAAATAATTTCATTTTAATAAAAAAATTAATTTTAATTAGTTTAATACTTTAATGTAATGGATGGATCCATTGGAGGTAAAATCTTAAAAAATCTAAATACTTTAATACTTTTACAAACCCCATGACTCCCATGAGAAAAATTTTCAAATCTAGCAATTAAAGTTGCTCCCACCTATCTGTTGGGAACTTGTGCAGGCAGCATGTATTTATAGGCAGCTGAGATCTGGAGCAATCCCATCCTTTGCTAACCGAATACTTTCCTCCTAAAGCTTCCTAAAAACAAAACCAACAACTCTTCAGTCTAACAAACAGAAAACAAAAAATGGAGAAAACAGAAGAAACCGCTTTAAATCCATCAAAGGTAGCAGCAGCAGCAGCAGAAACAACAAAAAAAGAATCGAAAGACGCAGAAGCTCAGGCCGCACATCCCAAACGCAAACACAGACGCAGAAACATCTGTCTTGCGGTCACGGCGGCAATTATCCTCGCAATTGTTCTTGTTGTTGTGATTTTAGCTTTCACGGTTTTCAAAGCCAAAGAACCGTCAACCACCGTCGACTCAATCAGTCTACAAAATCTCCGTATCTCTCCAGACATCGCTAGGATGAACGTTGATCTGAATATAACTCTCGATGTCGATCTCACCGTCACGAACCCTAACAAAGTCGGTTTTAAGTACAAAAACGGTTCCGCTTTCTTAAATTACAGAGGAGAACTTGTCGGCGAAGTTCCAATTCCCGCCGGTAAAATGTCCTCCGATTCTACAAGACCGATGAATTTGACCGTTACCGTCATGGCGGATCGGTTATTATCCAATCCCCAGCTCATCCCCGATGTGGCCTCCGGCGTGTTGACTTTCAGTTCGTTGATCAAACTGTCCGGTAAGGTTGCGATTTTTAAAATATTTAAAGTGAGCGTGGACACGACCACAACCTGCGATATTACTATCTTTGTTTCAAATAGTACTCTGGGAGATCAAAACTGCAAGTACAAGGCAAAACTATAGAACATGTTCTGTTCTTTTTATTGTTCTAGAATTAGATTATAATACGCTGTTTTAGTGTGTGTAGTGGAGATTTTCTTTATTGATACTAGATAATAATACATAACGTTTGTATTTGTATACTTGAGTTGATTACTCTGCCATTTTTAATAACTTGGTTCTTTTCTTTCTTTCTTAATATGTCCACCGTTTATAGTGTTCAATTGCCCAGATACGACACAGTCCTTGATTTTCTTGTTGGTATTGTTAAGTTCAAATGCACTCCTTTCGTTGTCGAACGGCCCGTTCTTGGATTGCCGGTGCTTTTGGACATAAGTGTCTCTTTGAGGTAACCAAATGCAAACTGAAAAATTGAATGTTGATTTACTCACAAAATTCCAGTTCTATTGAATTTTAGTTAGTTTAACGCTGACTTTTCTTCTTTCTGGTTACTATTTATGGTAGCAAAATTTATTTCCTGTGGTAACCCATTAGTTGACAAACGAAGTGATGCGTGTCACGTCGTCAGCGGAGTACATATTGAGCTAACGTACGAAGCTGGTTCGGTCCTTTTTCTGTAAATTAATTTTTGGGGTGAAATCAGGGTCCTGTCCTTTATCATGAAGCTTAATTAATATAGATAATAATGCATAGAAATACTTAACTATAATAGAGATATTTCTAAAAATTATTTTCACTCTACTTTTTTTTTCAATTAAATATCCTTTGTCGTCTGAATGTGCTTAAAATGATAATTCATGAAGGGATGGAAAATCGAGAATTTTAAAATAAGATTAGTTTTATATCTAAAATATTGAAAAAATTAAAAATAAAATTAATAAAACATAAATATAAAAGTATATCCATATTATATATAGACTTTAATATTTAATTTTGAAAATAAAATCATAAATCAAATGGATCTCTTATTAATTTTTAAAACCATTCAAATCATTTAATTAAAATAATGATTTATTTGTTTGATTTAAAATAATGTCCGTGTTCTGTGAGCAACGCTTCTTCCCTTTACATTGAAAAGTTGATCTACAAAAAATTAAAAAAATTTAGATAAAGTCCAATTATTAGAATTCCCAGAGTATGGTATGTGTACAAGATTCTCTTCAAAGCTTAAACTTTAATAGTTATTTGATGCATTTTATAGTTCTGCAACTATACTGTAAAATATTATTCACTTTTAACGATATAACTATTAAAACAGTTAAATTTATCCAATAAATGTTGCAAATATAGTAATGAAGTTTAAGTATTTTTTTAATTTTTATTTATTTTTATTTTATATATTTAAGAGTGAGCATTCGGTTAATTTGATTAATATTTTTAACAAAAATAAATCGACCGTATTTTTTTGTTGTCTTAACTGAACTAATTTTTTATGTGAATCATTTTGGCCGAATTAATTTTGTTTGTTAACCGAACCGAAGTTAAACAAAATAAAAACTTAATTAACCGTATTGAAAATTAACTGAAGTTATTATTATTACTTAATCAAAATAAATACTGAAAATATTTTTAATGTTTAATTTTTTTATCTACTTAATTAAAATGAGTTAATTTTCAAAATCAATTAATTTGAGTAATCAGTTTAATTAATTTTTAACTGAAATTTTAACCAACCACTAAAAATTAAATTTTCTTTAATCGAAATTTTAACGAAATATTTATTCATCAGAAGTGAATTTCCCGAATGCTCACACTCTTGTAACTTGCTATAGTTCGCTACAAATTGTTTTTCCAAAATAGAATCGACTATCTAAATGAAAACAAGGGAGAAACAAGATTGGTAGCACATGCCCATAGCACAACAATATCATTTTTGATGGCATAGAATTAGGAACCAACCGAAATTTCACGTGTAGCAGTTGAGCTCCGGTCAACAAAATTCACGGGGCAACCGCAACATATATAAGCTTAAATAGTGTCGAGTCTTAGATTTCTTTTATTTTGCATAAAACAAATTTTATTTCTAAAAATTATTTGTCATAAAAACCACTTTTTAGAAACTCTCTTTAATTATAATATTTGATAAATTTCTATTTTTTTCCTATTTAGATAACACTTCTAGAAAATCAAAATAGCATTAATCGTTTGAGTTGGATCCGTTACTACTCAAATCATAATCTTCAGATTACAAATAGAGTTAATATTAATGAATAAAATTTAAGAGTTTGAATAATTAAAATACTTAAAGTTTAAAGATAGAAAATGTTGAATATAAACACCAAAAAAATAAAAAAATAAAATTTTTTCTGATGGATCGATTGACGGGGGGAGAGGTAGTAAAGTAGTATAAGTAACGTTGTGACAATTTCAATTTTGTATTTTCTGCATGAACATCGGATACGTAGTTGAGTGCAAGTTTCCCTTAAATTGCAAAAATCATCTGTATTTTCCTGAATATGGAAAGTAGAGCTTCATAATAAAATTTCTCATAAATTGCATTAGCAGCTGTAAGAAAAAATTGTCATCTCATTTGTCTTACTAACTTGCTATGTTGAAATTTAATTTTAAGCATCTAAATTATTTTCTCAAAAATATACTTTTCCATTTCAGTAAATTTACATTTTTTGCTTTTTCATAAGAATTAAAAATATATTAAATAGTTTTAAGATAATCGACTAAATTATCCTTTACTTAAAGCTTATTTAATTGAAATAAAATTTGATAATTTTTCATTTTTCATTTAAAAAAAAAAGAGAGAGTTAGATGAGAATAAAATTGAAATAAAAAAAATTAATATATTTTTATTTTATTAGAGTATGATCGAAATGGAAAATGACAGTCAAATTTAACGTAAGGGAAAAATTAATATCTAGGTTGAAAAAGTATGCTATCTTATCAGAATCTTCAACTTTTAAGGATGTATATTATCTCAAAAAAAATTTAGAGTGCCACAAAATTTTTCATGGAAAGTATAAAAGTAAATTTATGAATTTAATTATTTTTATAACTTGAAATAATTAATCAATTTATATATTTTTTAATCTTTTATTGAAAATTAATATACGTTACAATAACTATATTTATCGGTTAGATTATAAATTTTACAGAAATTAAATTACATTTTATTGTATTTTTAGTTTACAATTAATTAGTTAGAGACGTCAATAATGCTAGTATTTTACTTGATAAAGATTTTATTTATTTAACTTCTATATATACAGTAAATTCCGATTATTATATCTAGATTATACAATAAATTAATTACATCAAAAGTATCGATCACAAAATTTAATTTGCAAGAATAAACTAAAATTTCAGTTACTATATATTATTTGATTGATTTTTACAATAAATTAATTTCATCGCAAGTACTTTAATATTTTTAGATGCAATTAATCCATAAATTTTATTATGGTCTATAAGCTTATTTACAATTTTTGATATTATTATTAATGAATTATATATTTGAAAAAAATCTATAAATTTCATTTTAGGATATACTTTATGGTATACAGTGCAAAGCCCTAAACTTTAGGGTATTTTTGCTTATTAAAAAAAAATCTAATGGGTTGTTATTATGTATATTGAAGTATGCTTTTAATTATTATTAAAAAAAAAAAAAAAAACTATTTGCTTTTGGAAGAATTAAAAATAATGAATTAAGAGGTTATCAATGCGTTGATTTCTTCCAATATTGAGCCAATTAAAGAGCTTGATTTGTGGTGATATAGCAATTAGAAAAGAGCTACGAGGTATTGTGAAGAATAAGCTGACGAGAGATTAAATGCTCTCCAACCTCCAACAACGTCTCCTCATTACTCTTTAAACCTCACTTCAGATCAGTCAGTTTCAGATACCCATATTTCTCTTCTCCGCATTTATGGCTTCTTCTTCTCCTGCCTAACCTATCTTCCTCCTACCCATCTGCTATAAGCCTATAACTATTCCATTCCTTTCTATTTCCATCCCAAAATACAACTTTTCCGATGCCAATGACGGAAACCGGCAACCAATCCCTAAAGGCAAAGAAACGGCGGCGTTGCATCATCGTAGGCGGCGCTATTTTGTTTCTATTATTTTTACTATTTGTTATTATTCTTATTTTAGCATTAACGATTTTTAAAATTAAACATCCCAAGATCCAGCTTGTTTCAGCTACTCTTGATGGTATTTCTCCTCGTTTATCATTCCCAGTTGTTAATCTCCAACTTAATATCACGCTTAATCTGAACCTTCTCCTTTATAACCCTAATTACGCTAGTTTTAAGCATGGTCGAGGCAAGAGTATTCTTTATTATAATGATAGTCAGGTAGGAGAAGCGGATATTGAGCCAGGGTATATACCTTCTAGAGGTTCGGTGACGTTTCCTTGCCGGCTTACGGTACAGGTTGATGAAATAGCGTCTAATCTGGCGTCGGTTATCAGAGATCTATTGGACGGCGAGATTGTTATGGAATCAAGAACAAGAATTCCAGGTAGAGCTACATTATTGGGGTTTAAAAGGCATGTCGTTGCTATTTCGAGATGTAAATTTACTATTAATGTTTCTGATATGAAGATTGAAAACCAGGAGTGTAAGACTGAGACTAAGTTATGAGGCTCAATCAGGATTCTGTTAAGATTGGATTTTTTTTTTTTTTCAATGTTTTTGGGTTTATTAGAAAATACAGATCTATTTGTCTCATAGTTTCTGTTTAAATTTGGATTACTGTTCCTTACCTGTTATAGTGAGTATAAACGACACAAGTTCTTGTACATATATATATATATGCTGACAAATTTTTATCACATTTTTTTGTTCTTTTTTTTTTTCCGTATCTTTTGTTATTTATAAATTATACCCAATTGGCAAATCCTGTTAAGGTCAGTTCTACGGAATCCAATGTGGAATGAAGTATCAGGCCCTGACATCCAATTTGCCAATCTCTGCTATAATTAGAAATAGGTGCAGAATTGCAAATTCAGCAAAAAACCTTTGTGCAGAATGCCTGGGATCTTTCTATTACCTTGATTGCTAACCAGGTCAAGCATATGTAGTGATTCTGCAGCATAACCCAAGCCAGAAGTAAACTGATAAAGAACAAAATACCTGTTATTTGGTTTCATTGTGTTGCAAGTTTTTGCCTTTACCACCACCGTAAATATTGAAATTGATATGACATCAAATACTGTCCAGAAAATAACTAACGTGATGTATTTTCGAACGAAAAATGCGAGTACAGGCAGTTCAGGTATAAATTGAGAACCTTGATCTCTATTTCGCATTACAGGGTATAAAGAATTTGCTGTCCCCAGCTATGGAGGATACAGAAAATGTCCAAGTCTTTGAACTTACGTTGCTCAAGACCAAATGCCCAGATACAATGGTCCAACCAAAAAGCAGACAGTGATTCCACAAAAGAAAGAATAAAAGATATGTTAATAAGAGCATATTTCAAGTTGGCCAAGGAGTTTCCTTGTTCACAAGTTAGGTACTGGAAAGCATGAAGTTCATATTGCTGCATAATGCATTTCACATTCAATTTTATTGATTTCCAATTTTATTAGGTCAGTGTTTATTTGAATCAAACCACCATGCCACCAGTGAAATTGAAGTGGAGAAATTCATATTCATGGATATACAAGATAACATAAAGTGAGACACAACATACACATAAACAAAGAAAAATGCTCTGTTGCAGTCTGCGAAAAGGAAAACTTGCTAATTCAAAAGAAGATAAAGCGTCTTTAATGACTATACAATTTTGGTACTACTCAGTGATCTTGGTTAAATCTCTAAGGACCACAAGTTAAATTATGACGCACAAAAGTTAGAGCTTTAAACTAATACTAATACAAAATGCTCGCCTGCAAAATGAACGGGCGGCGCAGTGTCAATCTCGACAGAGCAGATAGCAAACTAAAATCCATTATTGTTAGAATTCAAGCTTTTTGCATAATCCCAAATCAATAATCCTTGATTTACCTGTTGATTTCAAAGGAGCGCCAGGGCAAGTTTCAGCGACTCCGCTTATTCGAGGAGCTGAGGGTGGTGTTGTGCAAGCCTCAGAATCCCATTCCATGTCCATGTTTGATAATTCAGCAAGAGCAGTCTCTGTTTGGTTATAAACAATAACCTCTAAAAGATTTTCATACACTGATTTGAACATCTCCTCATCTGAAATCGATTTTGCTTCATCCCCAGGGCTTATAAAGCTCAAATCTTTGATGGAAGAACCAAAATTAAGCCGTCTTGCAACACTTATCCTTGCTTCATCAGAGTATTTCTTACACAAGGGAGCCATGGCTTTGTCATCAGGGCCAGGAGCAAATGGGTCAAAAACACCATCTTTTGGTGTTCTGGGGCTACTAGAATCATCAATAGAGGCAAGGGGGTCCTGATTTAAATCGGTTTTGGAATCAAAGGTTAGTACTTTAGATAGTTTTTTCAAAACAGTTAGTGGAGAACTAAGATCTAAGGGGAAATCCCCATTCTCTTTGTTTACATCAGGAGTAATAGGCCCAAGAGATAGCTCAACTTTTCCATTATTAGCTTCTTCACCACTAATTTCATCCGAAATTTCTGTAGATTTTTGGGATAAATCTTGGCATTTCCTCATTTGATTCACACAAGATTCAGAATCCATAATACCCATATTGGGACAACAATTGATTGACAACTGTAACAAAAATAAGCAATCAATCACAGCCTGTTAGTAAACTAAAAAACCATAGAACCTCATTAAGCCCAAATTCATCCCCAAATTTGAAAGTCGAAACACTGTAGACAAGAAATCTAGAAATGAAGGTAAAACACGAATGCATTAGCAGTGTTCAATTTAATCGAACAAAAGTGTTTAAAAAGCGGCGAAGAAAAGAGAGAGAACCAGAAACCCTAAAAATGCAGAAAGTAGAAAACTTTAGAAATAGTAGCTAAACAATTGCAATGGCATACCAAAAGAACAGAAAACAAATTAGAAAAAGAATCAACAAGAGCGTACATGAATCGGAGCGAATCGTGGCGGTAAGAAAATCCAGAACTTGGTGCGGCGGCGGCAGCAGCAGCAGCGGCGGAAGCGGGGGAAGAGAGTCTGGAGCTTGTGAGAGAAAACTATGAACTAAAACGGCAGCGTGTATGGTCAAATATTGAGCATTAGGGTCATTTTATCAGAAGTTAGGGCTTTTCAGGTTCCGAAGTGGTTAAGTGAATGGGATGGAAGTGAGATGACGTGGATGCGAACGTGATCCAATATATCTGAGTTCGTGTCTTAGTTTTGTCTGGTTAGGCGCCCTGTCGCCCACCACCCTCAGTAAGCACTAAGTTTGTTCTGTTGTGTGTTGGGGTCAGTTGGTATCAACTATTAAAATTAAAATGATAAAATTTTGTGTTTTAAATTGAAACAAAAAAAAGATTGTGTTTAAATATTTTTTTTAAATGTTAGGATGTTTTTTTTAAAAATCGAAGATGATGTGAAAATAATAATAATAGGGATGCAATATTTCCATTTTTTGTATTTTTAGATTATTTTTATTTATAAATTATAAGATAATAGTCACATAAATAAAATTTTGCCATAAAAAAAAAAAAGAAGAAAGGTTGTTATTTATGTGAAGAATATTATTTAAAGAAATCAAAGAAATTAAGATTTTAAGTTGGAGTTATTTTCACCACAGAGAAGTTGTTATTTACGTGACGAATATTATTTAAAGGGGAGGAACACATTTTATTATGTAACCTATTATATATTTTTCAATAATTTTCTTTCAGCCAGTTTGATTGCTTTTGAAAAATAAAGAATTTCATGGTTAATTTAAAAATTAGAATGCTAGTTGATTAAATTTAAAGATCACCTTTTTCTTTTTTTTTTTCTTTTTTTTTTTTTTTTGTTAAATTTAAAAGACTACAAACCTTTATTTCTTTTTTTTTTTTTTTCTTTTTTTTTTTGATATAAACCATTTGTATCCCACCCTTTTTCTTTTTTTTTTTCTTTTTTTTTTTTGATATAAACCATTTGTATCCAGACCCTGTTATCAAGAACTATCTAATCCGGCTTAAAGTTTAGTTACAGTTAAGACTCTTCATCAATTCCTGTAGATGTTTTTAGTGGAGATCGATCCCAATATCTCTTCTCATATGCTCCGTCTGCATTTGTCAACTGAACCATAATTCGTAGATGCTTTTTTCCTTTCTTTTAACAACAAAGATAACAAATTGGACTACATAACATGTGTAGTATTTCTCTTATTTCATCAAATTGATAAAAACTTTAGTGGTTGAAAAAATTCGAATTCAAGATCTTTTACTTCTTACACTAATTAAAAGATCAATCAGACTACACTTTGACAAGACTGTTAATCATCGATTATTCATAAAACCAAATGTTTTCATTATCAGCTCTTGATTATTAGTTCATGCTCTTCCTCGGTGGCTGCTTCCAAGCATTCAAAGGAATTTTTGAGATCCATCCTTTGGTCAAAAGATAAACGTATAATTAACCTTCATATTCTAGACTTTGAAACAATCAAATTATGTCCACCATACTCTTAAGCATTTTTTTTTTTTTTTTATAGCAAACAAACCAAGTTTGCATTACTCATATAAATATAATAAAAAATATAGGATAGTATGCCGCGCCCAAGAACGAGCGTAAAAATAAGAAATTTTAATAAGAGAATAAGCCCCTTGATAATCGTCTCTTAATCCATCTAATAGTCACGTAGAAATAACACTATATTCTTATAATTTTGAGTTATTATTTCATTATTAGTGTTTAAATGTTGAATTAGTAGATTATAAAACGTTTTTTCACCACATACTATTAAAGTAGATGACAATTATTACAATAATAGCTAACAACTATTGAGACCTTCTATTGCGAAACAACAATATAACTAAAATGCAGCTCTCACATAACCATGATTTGGATTCTAATAGAAGCCCATATGCCTAAGGGTAAGCATTTAGTTGGTTTTACGCTCCATTTGTTTTCGTAAAATAAATTGTAGAAAAATATTTTTCATAATTTTCTATTGTTTGGGGCTTTCAGAAAAATAAATCAAGGGAAAATATTTTTCTAATAAAAAAAAAGTCATGTTCTAAAGAAATTAACTTCTCATGTTCGAAAGAGTAAAACAGTTTTCAGAGATTGACAAACTTTATAAATCTATATTTTTTTTAATTTATTAATAATTGTAGTTACTACGACCAGTCACCATATACCACCGGCCACCGCCATTGGCTACCGGCAGCCACCACCACGAGCCACCGGCGGCTTTCATAAATTTTTTTTTAGCATTTTTCTTATATTAACAATAAAATTTTTAAATTATAAACATTATATTATTACTAGTATTTTTCATGGGGTTATGCGATAAAGACTTTAATATTTTTAACTAATTTTCAATATTACAACCAAACAACAGAAAATACGTTATTTGGAAAATGTCTTCCATATAAATATTTTTCAGCAAGTTATTTTATGAAAACAAACGCATCATTCTGTTTCAAAATACAACATTTTCCCTTTTAGGTTTATTAGGATTGTTTGAAGTGAAATTGAAACCGAAAAGATGTTGATTATTAACCGAACCGAACCAATCATATTGAAAAACCGAATAAATTAACCAAAGTAAGAAAAAAAAAACCTAATTTAACTGAAAAAACCAAATCAGATTCTCATCCCTACCAGCACATTTGACACTATTAATTATTTTAATAATTGTTAACTTTTTTATCAGTGGTTAGTTGTTAGCTATTAGCTTTTCGTTAATAATTGTCTAAATTAGAAGTGTTCGGTAAAAATAATTTTTTAACTTAAAATGACAAAACGAATCAAGTAGTGATTTAGTTATTCTTCTCACCTATTTGGTGGCCAATTTGGTGAGTAGAAAGCTATCCTTTGTTGTATTCCCCGCAATGTTAATTTAAAATGACAAAAAAAAAAAAAAAAAAAAACTATAACTTTGTTGTATTCCCCGCAATGTTAATTTTAAAAATGACAAAAAAAAAAAAAAAAAAAAAAAAAAAAAAAAAAAAAAAGCATTAGCTGTTTAGTTAGCTGAATTAATTAATTTCTATTAACTTGGTTAAAACGCTAAATTATTTTTTTAGATAAAATCAAAGAAATTTCATTAATTGGAAACTGTATATAGATATGAGAAATAGATCAATGTGTTTCTATATCTTTGTATAAGAAGTCTGATAATAAATTTACTTATATAAAGAATAAAAAAAACACAATCTTGATTTGAAGTATCTGATCGAGTTGACAGAGTAAAATATTTATGCCATAGATGATCGTTTACTCAACTTGGTGACTATTCATGACCACTGTTTGACTCTATGGTTTTTGTACAAGTTTGATCTGATTCTTTTCAAATTTATTCGTTCTATTGGGATCAGATCTGCACTTATTTCTGTATAATTATCCAAATAATAAAATATGTTAGATAAAATTACTATAACGGTGATAGCAATATGAGAATAAAATCTCAAAATATGGATAACAATAAATCTCAATATTTAGACTACAATAACTCAAATCTATAAATAAATTTGAGGATTATTTGTAAAAGAAAAAATAAACAAAAAAGGAAAAGGTTCTTTGACCTGCATAAAAATAAGCTAAAAGTTAACTGAAAAATTAATCGCAGAACAAAGAATATGCCAACTAATTCATAGGCCGAATATTTTATTTCAAAAAGAAAAAGAGAGAAATTACCATTTTGATTTTTGACGTTGATGGGACTTGGGAGTGGTTTTGGTCCAGGAAGGTGGCAAGAAAAGTCCTGCATGGCTGCGTGAAGCGCTTCAACCCTTTTGAACGCGTAAACTTAATTACAACTACCAAACAACATTACACAAACCGAAACGGTTAATTATATGAATTATGTCTCAACTTTTCAATTTTTCTTATATATATATGTGTAAATTAATATTTAAATGATTAAATATATTTTAGTAAAATGTTTATCAATGAAAATAATAGAAAATAATGGACTTGAAAAGTAGAGAAATCTATTTCACATTAAATAATTCTTAATTCATTTATCATTGTTTTTCCTTTAATCTAAGTATCCTAATTTTGTGTACTCAGAAGAAAATAATACATACTCAGAAGAAATAATACATATATAAATATATATATATAGATATATATTTTATATTTTTCAAATAAGGGAAGATGTTTTCTTTACATATTTTATTTCCTTAAAAAAATGCTCTTTTTCAAACAAAGTGTAAAAATTGAAATTTTGATGTCTTCAGTTCTTTTAAGACTTTCCTGTTAATGAATTTGATGTCATAATTTTCTGTTAAGAATTTAACGGTTCTAATTTAAGGGTTTTAATGGGTGTTCGACCCTCCGTTCCGTTGATTGTTGTTGACTCATAAACGAGAACCAGAGGTACCTGATTTGCAATTAATAATTATAGTTTCTTTTTTTTTTTTTTTTTTTTTTTTTTTTTTTTTTTTTTTTTTTTTTTTTTTTTTTTTTTTTTTTTTAAATAATGCAAAAGGGTTTGAAGGCAGCTAAAAAAAGAAATATACAGCCTTTCACACCAGTGTATAAATTATTAAGAACACGTTACACGTGGGTCTTCTCTTTACTTGTCATTTTGTTGATCATTTCATTGCATGTTCCTTCTGCTTTTCCAGTACTTCCTCTCTTTAATGCATGTTGCTTGATTTACAAAATATTGAATTTTTTTATAAAAAAATTTTAGTCATTTTTAACAAAAATAATGAGTTTTTTTATGAAATATTTAAAAATGTTACAAAATTTTGGTAATCGGATCTTTATTTTCTAAAATCTCAATTTTTATGAAAAATGAATATTTTTACAAAATATTCAAATATTTTTAAAGCATTACAATAATACATGCAACTACACATATTATTTTACAAATTGGCAGCTTTATAAAAATAGCCACTTTTTACAAAACATGTGAAAATATTATCGGATTATATTCTATTATTATAATTTTTTATTAGATATATATATGAGTTATCGAGTTTGGATGCGTGAATTTCATTGATCACATTTATTATGCAATTGAGAAAAAAATAATTATTAGAAAATAAATTATTTAAATTCAATTCTATATTAACAATTATTAGAAAATACAAATAAATAGTTAAAGATGAGCAATCATTGATCATGTGCAACAAATTTTTTTTCTTTCGAAAATATAGTGTTGATCACACGTTAGGTTGGTTGCAGTCGAGTGGGTTCGTAGTGGATTTCTAGAAATTGCTTGGCATAATAAAAGCGTATACGAGTATGCAAGGAAAGGTCAAGGTCAATCACACTCGCTCCGCACCCGCTCAACGCGCTATATCGCACATAATATAGCAATCCACCAATCCATGCTTCACCGTTCAAACCAACCAAATCAACAAAGTTATTTCTTTCTTTTTGCAATCCACTGTTATACCTGTTCTTCTCTCGGACATTTTATCAAACACTTCGGTTGCTAACAAAAACCAGAAAGAAAGTGGCAATGGAAGTTCAAGCGGGAGGCAAACCTTGCCTTACGAGAAAAGGCTCAACCTCCTCTTCCTTTCGCCTTCGCAGCCCAAGTCTCAATTCCCTCCGTCTCCGCCGTATTTTCGACCTCTTTGACAAAAATGGCGATGGCATGATCACAGTCGAGGATCTTAGCCAAGCACTAACCCTTCTAGGTCTGGACGCTGATTTCTCCGAGCTTGAATCTACAATCAGATCTCATATAAAGCCAGGAAATGACGGTCTAGCTTTCGAAGACTTTGTTGCTCTTCATCAATCTCTGGACGACGCCTTCTCTAGCAACGAGCAGAATGTCGAGGATGCAGGGGACGCGATATCGCAGGAAGAGTCTGACCTGACGGAGGCTTTCAAGGTTTTCGATGAAGACGGTGATGGGTATATATCTGCGCATGAACTGCAAGTCGTTTTGAGGAAACTGGGGATGCCTGAAGCTAAAGAGCTGGATAGAATTCAGCAAATGATCATCTCCGTGGATAGCAATCAGGATGGGCGTGTTGATTTCTTTGAATTCAAGGATATGATGCGCAGCGTTCTTGTTCGCAGCTCTTAATTAAATTTTGATTTTGATTTTGATTTTCCCTTTTCATTTTCGTTATTTACTTTTCGTTTTTCTGCAGTTATGGCGGGATTTCTCCATGCGTGCATATGTTAATATGCCTATCATATTCTTAACATCCGTTGTTAAGGTTTTGTAAACAGACAAATTTATATACTGGAAAGCCCATCTCTAATGTGAATTTCCATGTTTCATAAACATTTTAAAACAAACAATAAGGCTTTGGACGAAAAAGACTTGATAGTTAATTTGATGTAAACGTTCTAGTAATTTCTTGAAAACAGAAAAATGAAAATATTAATTTAAGGAATCAAATGCATTTTATCCTAAATGATAATAATAATAATAATAAGTTTTTCAGGTTTAAAATACGTATAATAATTTATTTCTTTTATGTAGCTTTTACATTTTTTTTTGAATGTATTATTGGTGGTTATATTGTATACGCTTGGAGGTGTAGGTCAGAAAATTTGATATCTTGGGACACCAACAATTCTTACAAGAACATAGTTAACATTAACCACAGGCGAATGTTTTAAATTTTATATTCCAATATATGTATGTATATTCCACTGTTTTATTGGTCCAATCACTAAATACTTTTCAACTTCTGGAATCATGATATTAAAATAGAAGCACAAATGGGAAGTTGAAGTAAAAAAAAAAAAAAAAAAATTAAAATAGAAGCAACAAAATGGAATTGAAGTAAAAAAAAAAAAAAAAGAAAAAATCTGTTGAGCTGGATCAATTCTGTTGACTATTTTATCTTAACAATTTGGCATGCTACCAAAAAATTATTTATCCTTTATTTATTTTATTTATTTAATCTACTTTATTTTTCATAGAAAAATTTTGTCAATTTTTTTAATTTAAATTATGCGGACCAATCATCCGAAGAAAAAAAAAAAAAAAAAAGAAAAATCTGTTGACTGGATCATTCTTTGACTATTTTATTCTTAACAATTTGGCATGCTACCAAAAAATTATTTTATCCTTTTATTTATTTATTTATTTATCTATTTATTTTCATAGAAAAATTTGTCAATTTTTTTTAATTTAATTATGCGACCAATCATCCGAAGATGATAAGGTAATTAATTAAAGGAAGTAGATATATCTTCAAATGGCCTCAATAGCTATCGACCTTCACGGTTTTAGCATGAATGGTTTCTAAAAAATTTATGAAATTTATTTAAAATTTTATGTAATAAAATATTTAATATATTATTATAGACTATTATGCATTTTAAATTCAATTACACCAAAAATTGAAATAGTAATTATGTTTAGGTGGTTGTTGGAATTGATAGAATATAAAATGTAAGGATTTCGTAAAATTTATGAAAATTAAAATTCATGGATTATGAATTCCACACGATTTTTTACATTCTAATATTTGGTAGGAAAATAAAATCTGCAAATCTTAAAGATATTATTTTTGGAATAAAATTAATTTATTTAAATTTTCATCATTAATAAAAAATGATGGAATTGGGAAATCACATTTCCTTTCTAAAATAGTGAAAGGGATATCATTTTCATGGACTATAACTTATTTTTTGTCAATTGAACAAACTATCTCTAAAAAATATTGACATTTATGATTTATTTATAACGACGGAAGAAAATTTTTTTAAAAATAAGGGACTGTCTGTGAGCTTTGGAACACAAAATATTAGTATTATAATAAGAAAATGCTCTAATCATATGGTACAAAACACATCATCAAATTACCTGAAAACAAGGGTTGATAGGATTTTTTAATTCAGCTCAATTTAAGTCTAAACAATGAATATAATATAAGATAGTAATTAAAATAAAAATGAATGTAGTTTTAATGTTTTATAGTATTCAATTTCCCTTTCTTATGGCAGAAACTATGGATCCCTCCTACATTTCCTGATTTCCTTAGGACATAATATGGATATGTCTGTAATCCTCCTCGAACGCTTTTTGGTATATTCAAACTTGTATTTTTAGCTTTACAGAAATTACAGTTGCTTACCGTCCCACCCAACACTTTATTAGTCTGTCAAATTAATTCATTAATTATCATTTACAAGCTTAATTTTACCTGATAGGATGAGAGGTTTATAGATATTATATGCACTCTCAACGAGTTATACTTATCCGATTTAGTGATAGGTACATATCATCGACAATGCAGCTACTAAACCAAAATGATAATCAAGTTGGCTCAAATTGAAATTGATTTTTTAACTTTCTTTTTGATAATAAGTAGCTAGAAAATTTTAAAATGGAAATAAATAGCTACAGCGAGTCATGGTTCTGGTTAACCTGTCATTGTCCATCACAAGAGGGAACAAATCTGCAAGCGTAAGATGGGTTTGGCAGTTTGGGCTTTCTGGCTAATCAAGAAGCAGAATATTGAATCACGGAGGAGGTTTGGGGATTTTAAGCTTCCACAAAGCAATCCTAGTCCAAGAGATTAAAATAAATTAATTTTATATCTCAATTTGGTTCATAAAAATAGCGATATACGGAATCTAAATAAATTATTGTGGACCATGCTCAACAATTTTCAAAGGTCAAAAACTTTTAGCCGTCTTTTTTGGGTGGAATGGGAGGGATAAGAGCATACTTAATATTTGACTATAGGCAAGAATTCTCCATTCTTAAAAGTTAGGCAAGCACATATACCAAACCCTCTCTCTATTTCTAATGGGAATAATACATTTAACCCCTTTGCTTATTAATATTACCATACCATGCACATGCTTCCCTATCTACACACTGCTACCAACTCTGATTTTATGATCTGTACTCATTTGTTTTGTCTATCTCGTATTACCCTGAATCCAATAATTACGATTTTATCACAACTTTAATTATTTCATTCTCTCTCTGTATATATATATTGGCCTTGATTTCTCAGTATTAGAGATACGTATGGAAAGCAAAAGCATCGAATGCCGAGATCCAGAGTTAGAAGAGAGTTTCTCATTTTCCACCTGCTACGACTTCAATTCCTCTTCTTCTTCTCTTGCTATTTTCTCCGATAACGATGACGATTATATTGAAATAGCACTTCAACCACCGGATCTCCACCTAAATAATGGTGCCGACGACGAGGAAATGGAGCTGCGCATTTCGTTTTCGACATCCTGCGTTCCTCTTTCCGACGAAACGAAAACGACGATGGAATTGTATGAGTCGACTGTGACTTCTTGTAAATCGTCTTTGTCGTCGTCGTCGTCGTCTTCCTCATCGTCGACGTTCACTTTCAGCTCATCATCGGCGGAGAGTCAACGGAAGTCGCCGGAAAAGTATTCCAAGCCTATTGAAAGTAAGGATGTTAACCGCTTCGTCAATAAATTCATTTCCAGTCTCAAGGTATCGGCGTCGGAATTTGATGTTGGAAATGGCCGTTCAACGGACACTAGTCACTCGGAGCTCGTACCAAGCAGGTATTTCCACGCTCCACGCTCATATATTTGATTTCTTATTTCTTTTTTTTTTCTAATATAAATATAAATTATTAATTTAAGTGTGAACTAAGAAATGAGAATGTTGACCAAAAAGAGTAAAAATTACTAAAAAAAATTGTCCTATTTGGCTTTGTGTCTTGCGTTTCAAAATTTTAGTTGGGAAGTAAAAGGTCTATCTTGTCCACAGGCCAACTCTAACTTGTTGGCTATGAATTGGTCTTTTGATTTTTTCTTAGTTCTTTTAAATTTTCTTTTTGGGATTAACTATATTCTTTTTTACATTAAAAAGTCACAAATTCTTTTTTTATTGATTATACAAGAAACATTCAAGTCAGGCACATAAATTAGGAATAAAATAATTCTTTACATTATAAAAATAATATATTATTATATAAATTTCGTCGATCACTGAGGTTGATCACTAAATAGCAGTGACAGGAGAAAAGCATCAAAGCTAACAACAACGAAAACAAGCAACAGCTTCGTGATGAAATTTTTTATAAAATTTCGAACCTTAAAGCTCAAGACATTACTAGCATCATTTCTGACAGCCTCGCAAGACAAGGGAAAATTATGTGAAGAAAATTTCTTGACATATAATACCAGAACCCTAACCAAGTCATCGGAGAAAGAATCGTCAACGGAAAATATCAAGCAAGGAGATAAAAAATCCAAACTCTTAGAATTGAACTTCGATGCAATTAGAGGAGTATTATTAGAAGCCATGAGTATTACAACAAGCCTTGGTCGTAGAGATAGAAGAAGCACAAAGAGTTGCCCTGTTTCTAGCAAGTCCTCTCCAATTCACCAAACATTTCTCCATGATAATTTTAAAGTCTCTACTGCTGATAACTCTGTTCAAGCTGCTATTGCTCATTGTAAAAGATCATTTGGTCCAAATATTTGATATTATTTATTTTTTTACCTCACATTCATCCTTTTCGAGCAGAATTCATAATGATTAATATATTAGTAATAGATGAGATATGAAAGTAATAAGATTGAAAGAGGTAGTGAATGAAAATGCTATTTTGTAAAGATTTATTTTTGTTATTTGATCTTTAACGTGGTGAGGTTAGTTTTCTTATTTTTATAAATGGATACTAGTAGCTTGTACCATTCAATATATTAAACTCATATAATATTTTTAAATGTGTACATATTTCAAATTCATTAGTAAATATCCAAATAGATAACTTATAGGTCAAATACTTATATAAATTCAAATACATACCTTTTATGAAAAATTTTATGGTAGTGAACTACCGTCTTGCAAAACCCATTATAATTTAAAATTACGAATTTTATTAACATTACACATTTCTCCATATTAGGGACAATCATTTTTAAGAAATTTTTAGTTTTTATATAAAAAATATTGATTCTCATGTGTAGTTAGTATAATTTTTGAAAAAATAATTTTTATAATTTTTCATTATTAAATAAATATTTAATTAATCTAATATTAAAAATTAGAGTATTGGAACCTGGAAATATCCCTATCCTATTCATTGCTGTTCCTATTCTATACTAGAAATCAATTTCCAAACTAATTGCAAAACATCCTATCCCGCCAAGTTTGATTGCTCAGGGAAAACCATCAAATGAAAAGGATTATAAATTAAAAATTACGCATTGTTTATTTCTCTTTTATTATTATTATTATTATTATTATTATTATTATTATTATTGATAAGAAAAGGATTTGAGCCGAACAAGTCAAAGTCCAATAATGTAAGAAACCGACTGGTATCTGAATCTTATTTAAATAAGTGTAACGTTCAATGTAACGATTACTCAATAACAGAGTTATTAAAAATCATTAAATGACTGAGATTTTTGTTCGGTATTCATGACTAAAATTCTTATCATAAATATTATTTGGTCAGTTATGGTCTAAATTGTACTATAAATAAATGTATGAAAACATAAAAAGGATAATCTGATTCCCAAATTAATAGCAACAAATACATTTCTTGTGCACAATCTCAATTTACTCTAATCAATTATTTTTATTAGATGTATCCTCATCTATTATTTTAATTCCATCGAGGCCTAAAAATTTTACATGTCATTTGTATTTATAGATAATTATTACTCTTTGTTCACAAACATAATTTAGAAAAAATTAATTATTTTTTAATTAATGTATATAAATTTTAAAATAATTTTCATTTATAAACAACTGAAATATTTTTTCTTAAAAAAAAAAATTGATTATTTTCATGGTAAGGATTAAAATTTTTGATAGAGAAAAGTCCAACTCAAAATATCATAACCCTCGCACTAGTGAAAGAGCCGACCAGCAAACACTATATTTTCTTTGGTAAACGAAAAAATATATATCATAAATTATTATTTTTATACAGGACCAGTATACATGTACTCGACAATAAATAATCAGCATCTGCATGTGGACCATCCGAAGGTGATGAAAGCAGCGAACCTGCACAAATCCTTGGATTAAACCCACCTATCTCTCCAAGGCCGTGGAACCCCTCATTGGCAACCGCATCATTAGGGCTAATGGACCTTTTCTGGGCCCATAAGATGAAGCTCAATGCTCCTGAGCTCTTCCTCAATAAGGCTAAGTAAGGTACGGACTTCTTCTTCTTCTTTATTTATTTATTTATTTTGGTTGTAGTGGAAAGCCAAATGGGCTTGCTCAGGCCGAAATCTCTCACTCTAAAAATCTATAAAATCTTCTCTTCTTCGGGCAGCCACTGGTAATCGCCCCTTTTCTTTTTTTTTTTATTTGATTTTTTTTAAATAATTTTCAGATTTGATTACAGATTTGAGTTATTATCGCTTATATATTGAAATTTATTATTACCCATATATTGAAATTTTATCCTTAGATCTAGTACTGAGTTATTGTTATCACTATTATGATGATTTTGTTTAGCGTCTTTTATTATTTGGATAGTTATATAGAAAGAAGTGTAGATCTCCTCTTCAATAGAAGGAAAAAATTTAAAGATAATCAGATTAGACTTATAGAAAGATCATGGAGTCGAACAATGGTCATGAATAGCCATCAAGTGGAGCAAGAATTGCCTATGGTATAAATATTATGCTCTGTCAACTCGATCAGATACTTCAAGTCAAAATTGTGTTGTTTTATTATTTGTATAAGTAATTTATTATTAGGGTTCTTATATAAAAATATAAAAATATATTGATCTGTATCTCAAATTTGTATACAATTTTCAATTAATGAAATTCTAGTTTGATTTTTCTAAAAAAAAAAAAAAAAGGGCTTGCTCACCAACATTTGAGTTTCAGGATTTAATTTTCAGTGTACCAAACAGACATTTTCTTTGATATTGTATGAGAATAGTGACACATTAATTAGTTTTTTTTTATATATTTCTCATCCTTCAATTGAAAAATGCAGCACATGTTAGGGGTAATGGAGGAATCAACCATAGCGATGATTAAATTTCAAAATTTAAATGTCAACTTCTTAAGCAAATGTTAGTTGCATTATATAATTGAGGTTTAATAGGAATTAATTTTTAAAGAAATCAATGTTGAAAATTTGAATATTACTTTTTTTTAAATAGAGATTGGAATTCAAAATGAAATTAAATGCTTCATTTTAGAGATTTAAAAACCTTCTGATGAACGTTAATTGCTTTTTATAATTCTACCTTAATAATATTAATAATACTAATTGTGTAAAAAAAAATGTTATATACATTAATAATAATTATAATATTAGATTTTGATATTCTTCCGTTTATTTTTTTAGTATAAATCACCAGTATACAGACCCTATTATTAGTTAAGGCTCTTCGACCCTCTCTGCAGTTGAGTTTAATGGGGATCGAACCCCCTCTCTACAAGTGATTTCAATGGGGATGGAAACCGAAAGCTGTTTCTATATGCATAGTCTGCATTTTGATATTCTTCCTTTTATTACAAATGTCATAAGCATTAGTCTTTTATTGCCTTTTCTAATATCAAAAGGAAATAACTTTCTAAATTATACATTTTCAAACTGAAAATAATAATGGAGAAAGAATATTTGGCAACAATTAAATTATAGGCATCATTTTAATATTTTAGAAAAATTAAAATTAAAACTTGTTTTTTTTAAGGAGTAAAAATTGAGTTAGTATACATAAATGATTTGTAAAAAAAATCAAATTTTAAAATTTGAACGTTAACTTATTTAAATGGAAGTATACGTGGGTTGCCATATATAATTATTAATGATTTGAATGTTATCTTCTTTTAAATGGAAGCAAACATCATTTGCCTTGTATAATTCAGCTTTAATAGGAATTTAAAACTGCGTCAACAAATATTAATGATTTTTAAAGAAAATCAATCATCAATTATCAAAATTTGAATATTACTTTAAATGGAAGGTGGAATTGTTTCTTATACCTGAAGAAGAACAAAGAGAAGAAGAAGAGCAGAGTTTGAATTGTTTCCCAATCTCAAAGTGTTTGTTTTCTTCTCCAAGTGTCTTGAGGTATTCTATTAGTTTAATTTATTATAAGGATTGTTTAACGTTGGTGTATTTATATACACCTTCATAGAGATAGGAGACAGAAGCTGAGGTAGAGATCAAGGAAGCTATAGAGAGAGATGGCAGCTGGTTTTGCAGTAGCAGCAGATGTTTTTTGGTCTGCGATTATAGTTGGGATATGTATTTTATTGACAAGAATCTGGCATGTGATGTGGTTGAAGCCAAGAAGGATTCGGTCTATGCTCTTAAAACAAGGAATTAGAGGGCCAAAACCTCGTTTCTTTTATGGCAACACTCAAGAAATGAAGAACATCCAATCAAATATCAGCAACACTCATCTTCAACCTCGACCAATTGATGCTATTTCTCACAGTGCTTGGGTTCGCTCCATGCTGCCTTACTTCCAACAATGGGCGCAACAGTACGGTATGTGTTCATCTTAAGAATTTAAATCCCACCATTATCAATTACTTTTTTATGCTCTATTGAGTTTATGGAATCGTTTTAGGTTAGAGACGAAATCCATAAATTTCATTACTCAAATTTTATTAATTCAATAGGATGTTATACTTCCTTTTTCCAAAATAACATGATAAGATTAGTTCTCCTTTTACTCGCTAAATCGATAAAAATTATTGTGATCAAGATAAATCAAACTCGAAACCTCCTAAGTCTCACTAAACACTAGTGAGAAGAGTAATCAAATTACACCCGGTTGGAGATACTATTACTTTCTTTTGTAAAGGAAAAAAATATATATATATATATCTCATAAATTATTATTATTATTATTATTATACAGGACCAGTATACATGTACTCGACAATGAATAAGCAGCATCTGTATGTGGACCATCCAGAGTTGATCAAGGCAATGAACCTGCACAACTCCTTGGATTTGGGTAGACCTAGATATCTCTCCAAGCCCATGGCGCCCCTCTTTGGCAACGGCATTATTAGGGCTAATGGACCTCACTGGGCCCATCAAAGGAAGCTCATTGCTCCTGAGTTCTTCCTCAATAAGGCTAAGGTATGGACTTCTACTTCTTCTTCTTCTTCTTCTTCTTCTTCTTCATTTATTGGAAAGCCCAATGGGCTTGTTTACCAACAACGTTAAATGGATGTTAGACTCAGGGCCCATTTTCCGCTACTAAAACTGATTAATTTTCAATTTTACAATTCAGATTTTGAGTTTCAGTACTTAATTTTCAATTTTACCAAACAGCATTAAGCTGACATTTTATTTGATGTATTAAAAGAATAGTGAGATATTAATATTATTATTGAATTTACTAGGCTGATTTAGAAAATGCATGATATTCATCAACGAAATAGCTATAATGTTAAACAACAACAACAACAGCAACTTCTTATATAATTAATTTTAAATTTTACAAAATAAAAAAAATTAGAAATATATATGGCATTTTATTATTAGCTCGTGGCACTAAAACAATATGCTGGCATCTGTGAGGCACAGAAACTCCTAGCGAGAGCATTTCCGCATTTTGACAAAATTTCCTGTGTAAGAATACGGTTTTTACATCTAAAATTATATGTTTACTGTATCATTTCCGCGTTTCTACACTTCTTCGTTGATATTCCATGCAACATAGGCTGACATGCTTATGGGTTTTACACTTGCAAAATGTAGCACATGTTAGAGGTAATGGAGGAATCTACAATAGCCATGATTAAAAAATGGCAGACCAAAATTGAAAATAATGGAAGAGTTGCAGATGTAAGTGTTGAGAAGGAGTTGAAGGGTGTAGCAGCAGACATTATCTCCAAAGTTTGTTTTGGCAGCTCTTACTTCCAAGGCAAACAAATTTTTGCAAAGTCGGCAGCTCTTCAGGAAGCCTTGTCAAAACCAAGTTCACTTTTTGGGCTCTCAAACTTTAGGTAAAAATAAAATGTCAAATAAGTTCTTAATCTCAATTCCAGATGTACTTAAAAACTATCCACTCAATCTTTGTAGATTTCTTCCTACAAAGAGCAATAGGGAAATTTGGAGACTTCAAAAAGAGGTAGAGACAATGATACTGCAAATTGTAAACGAACGCCGAGAAAAAAGCAAGGGGTCTAATAAACCTGAAGAGGACTTGTTACAAGCGATACTTGAAAATGCTACAAATAGGGATACACATCTCCAAGCTACTGCTAATATTAATAGTATTATAGTAGACAATTGCAAAAACATATACTTTGCAGGCCATGAGACAACCGCTCTTACAGCTTCTTGGTGCTTGTTGTTGCTCGCATTACATCCTGAATGGCAAGAACGTGTTCGAGCTGAGATTGCGGAGATTTGTGGCGACAACCTCAATGATTGCTTATTAGACTTGGACAAACTTCGTCAGTTAAAAACGGTATTAGAATTTTCATTTACTGAGCTACGCCCCAAGATTGCTAAATCCTGCACTAAAATTTGTATATTGTGCTTTTCACTTGCAGCTAAATATGGTGATTCAGGAAACACTGCGACTCTACGGTCCAGCAGTAATAGCAGCAAGGGAAGCTTTTGCAGACATAAAGCTAGGCGATATGACAATTCCAAAAGGCACAAACATTTGGATATTGATCACAGCATTGCACCGTGATCCTGAAAATTGGGGTCCTGACGCTAATGAGTTCAAGCCGGAGAGATTTGCCGGCGGCATAGCTGAAGCTTGCAAGTACCCACAGTCATACATTCCATTTGGTTTCGGCAATCGATTGTGCATTGGGCAGACATTTGCATATCTACAACTTAAAATTCTGCTTTCTTTAATTCTATCAAATTTCTGCTTTGCTTTGTCTCCAGAGTATTGCCATTCACCTAAATATAACATGTTGTTAGTACCTGAACATGGCATCAGACTGCTTGTAAGCAAAGTGAATGGCTATTAAGGGGATGCATTTTCAAAATTATGAAATAAATTTATTATTTTCATGTTTAGGATATTAGAAATTTGTTTGTTTTTACAGGAAATTAAGATGTTCAGAATCAAACCCAGGATCTTTGTATTAAATAAACGTGTGAGCAATTAATTTATTGTTTTAATAGTTATAATAGCTTATAATTAGAAGAATTAGACAATTTTTTTACATATAATAACAATTTTTAAAAGAACTTAACTACTAAATTTTTAACTTTTGTTTACAAATAATTAAATTAATTGATGATAACAACAAATTGTTACTAGATTATATTAAATATTTTTAATAAATTATTATAACACCTATTTTAATTCTTGTTAAAAAAAATCTAAACCTAAAGACCAAATCAATGAAAATAATAATTTTATAAAACTTGTTACTTTATCTTTTTTTTTTTTTCATGCATAGTCGGAAATACCCAATTTCGACATATTTAAATATTTTTAATAAATTATTATAACACCTATTTTATTTCTTGTTAAAAAAAAAAATTCTAAACCTAAAGAAACCAAATCAATGAAAATGAATAATTTTATAAAACTTTGTTACTTATCTTTTTTTTTTTTTTCATGGCATAGTCGGAAATACCAATTTCGACAATATATATATAATAATATATATATAATATATATATTATATATATATATATGCTTATTTTCCATATGGCTTGATCTACCGAAACAAAACAAGTACCAAATATTTACAATTGATGTCTATTCATGAAACATGTGCCCTTTTGAGTCCTTAGAGAAGCTTTACTTCTATATTTTGAGATTGCTTCATTCATTCATATACTTCAACTTAAAATGTTTTGATAATGAATGTAATCAGCAGTTAATAATTTATAGAAATCCCAAGTAATAGTTGATCTGGTCGACTATATTTTATATTTTGACTATATTAACTTTATAATATAGTTACTATTACAATTATTTTTATATGATTATTTTATTTCTAATTATTTAAAAATAATATATAACTATTAAATAAAAATTTTAATTAATATTTTATATTTATGTAACATACAAAATAGTATATTAGCCGCAACCGGTATTATAATTTTACAAACAGACATGAATTAAAAGTTATTAGTAACTAGCTAACATACGAAAAACAAAACCAAACAAGCTATTAATCATGTTGACATAATTACACGAACCACAAAAAACAAGTGTACCTTAATTTCACACATGAGAGATATGTTGCAATGCTTTTATTTCTGAAAAGATATATATTACATCAAACATATTACACACAGACACACTATATATTGATTTCTTTCTTTTTTATAAACCTTTTCTTGTTTTTTGGTCAAAGACCTATTTATTGCAGATCGCACACAGGACAAGAAGATGTTGTAGTAATCTTTATTTATAAGGATATATATATAGAGCATGTGCTTATGGATTCATGCTAGTAATTAATTTCCAGGACCAGTAATCTTCATATGCTCCACGAATGATTTTCCGCTGAGCTTGCGAGAAAAGAAATCTTTGAAACATTGTTCCATCCCAACCCTTTTGAACATTGGTTGATTATTTGGGTTAATTAGACTGGTTGCAGGTCCAACCTCTGCCTCAAATTTAGGGTCGACAAAAAATGCAACAGAAACCCTTTCTTTTTCTGAATTTACTAATACCTTATGCTCAATGCTATTGTAGATCCCGTTGCTTAAAATCTGAAAAAGAAAATGAGAGGGAAAGAGAAGAGACAAAAAGTAAAATCAATATATCAAATAATTAAGATATCAGGGTGGGTTGGTCTTTTCTGATTTCAGGTTGATTGTGGAGAGAATATATATATAAATTATATGGGTTAGCACAATTTTATAAAATTTCATAATTTTCTCTAATTCATATGTGCGTCATACATTTTCTATTTAACTAATCAAAATTGACATATTTTATTTAAAAAAAATAAAATAAAATTAGTTCAATTATCAATAATTCTACAATATTACCTGGCTTGAAAAGAAAAGAAAAGAACATTAATGTGTCTGTCTTGGATTATAGTTACACCATGATTTTTAGTTCCTTTAATATATTTGAAAGTTGACGTTTAACCAACAAAATAAACTTTAAAAACGACGTAAGAGCTAGGGTTTCTATCAGAAAAATCAACACATGCTTAGATTCAATAAATCACGTGTGTTTTGGTTATTTAAATAGATTAGTTTTATTATTATGTATCTATCAGAGAAGTGGCAAAGAAACTAAAATGACAGACTGAAATGCAAACCAACCTCAAGAATGTCTCCTATGTTCACAACAAGTGAATCTGGAAAGAAGGTCACAGGACTCCATCTCCCATCTTTCTTAATCTGAAGACCATCAACTCCATTAACTTGGTTGAGGATTGTAATCCCAGTTGCATCTGAATGAGGAGTTAGCCCTACAACTAGCTCTGGTTGTGGACATGGAGGATAATATGTCATCCTTATTGATTGCATTCCATCATCAAACAGTTCCTCCATTTCCTTTTCGTCTATCTTTAAAGCTTCTGCTATATGCCCAAGAAGCTTTTTGGCAAGCTTTTGCAGTTCCAATATATAACTTTCCAAGTTCTTCCTGCAATAGCAATAAAATAAATAATACCATCTGGGTTTAGTTTAATTAGGGAAGGTAATAGTTAGTTTGCCATATTGTATTAGGGTAAATAGTCAGGTCGGTATCAGAGAGCTTGATTTAAAGTTATGAGAATAATCTCATACCCAAAAAAGGTGCAGAGATACTCATTGAAAAGCTAAAAAAAAAAAAAAATGGAAACAGTTAAAATGATATTTTCAGATAACTTTTTGCACCAGGTCATTAAAGGTAAAATTAAAAAACGAAAAAATGAACCCAAAAAAAAAAAAAAAAACACTAAAACTGCACCTGAGGGATGAAGGGAGCTCTGGAAGAAGGTGAGGCTTTCTCCTATGAATAGGATTTGTTACAACATAGAATCTATCTCCCCAATCAAGTTTTCCTCTTAATCTGGTGGCAGTTCCATAGCCTTCAACATCACTGTCTGGTCTTATTTTGTATTTCATTTTCTCTTCCAATGGAAGGTTATAAAATTCTTCTATATCATTTTTCAGATTTTCCATCAGCAAAGGGCTAACTCCATGGTTCACCAACTGTTCATTAAACCAATACATCTCAAAACAATCAGATATTGGCATATCATATATATATACACACACACTAAAGAAAATTTAAAAAACTTAATAACCTGGAAGATTCCCCATTCTTTGCATGTAGAGTGGAGTTTTCCAAGTTCTGAATCAGTGGAAAGCAACAGTTTGAAGTCAATAATGGGTAGTGTTATTGGAGAGGAAGCAGAATGGAGGGATTGTTGATCAGACTGAACATAGCTTTGTGGGACAGAGATGGTAGGCTCTTTAATGAGCTCCTGAACACTAAACACAGCTTGGAAGTTCTCATTAAGTCTATTATTAGCTACAGGCGATGAGGATGCCATTTTTGCTTATACAAATTAAGTTTGAAGCTATGTGTAATTAGGGTTGCATATTGCATGCTTATATAGCCACAAAAATGAATAACTTGAACCGATTAACAGCTAATTTAATAACAATTGTGGGTTATAGACTTTTGAAATCACGTATGAGCATATGTCATATTGGAAATCAAATAAGAAATTTCTTTAGAAGTCTCTCTTCTACGTAAACATGCAAACTTTTTTCCAAACGGTAGGATTTTGAGCTAAATCCTAATAATTTTCTTCATTGAAAATACGTATTAAAGAGAGTGCAATTCTTAGTTGAAACAGCCGCAAACGAGGGAAAAAAAAAACTCTAATTTTTGGCTATGAAAATAACGCACCAAGTTAACACATGTTGAGCAATTAATAACAACATGCAATTCATACGTGGAGTCATGATTTAATTATAAAATAGAGATAAAAATCTATCATATAGTTTCTAATTTTTAATTTAAATAACAAAATAAAAAAGAAAAATAATTAGTAGCACGACACATTTTAAAAAATAAATATACAAATTTGCTAATTGGTGTAAAAAATTCAGTTGCGGTAATAATTATATATAGATATTCCAGTAAATTTAATGATTAAGAAGACTTTTAGTTCAGCTACAGCATCTATTCACCATGCCTGATTCCAGATATAAGACTCTCACTCTGTTCCCAGTTTTTTGTTTATTCCTTGTTCTTCAAGGTAATACATATAGTATTTTCTTTTTCAAAAAAAAAAAAGACTTTTAGCTCAGCTAATCGTTCAATTGGTAGCTAATTCATATTAAATCATTAGATTAAAATTTTAATCAGTAGTTAATAGCTTATAAAAGTTTCAATCAACTATTGATTCCATCAATTATGTTTTCGAGTTTTTTTTTTTTTATAATTTGATAATTAATTTATGTTTATATGATATTTCAACTTTATAATATCATGAAAGTAATTATTAAATCCCCTGTTCAGATATAGTCACTTAATCTATGTAATTTAATTATAATTATTTATTATTCCCTTATTAATTAAAGCATTGAAATGGTTGCAAGCCAATTAGCCAACTCCTTTTCTCTTCCTTATTCCCCTGTCTTGCAAATTCTGATATGTGTACTTCATATGATCAATATTCGCAAATATATGAATAATAAATTTTTTTAAAATTTATATGAAAAAATTATTTCATTTATAATTGTTTTAAATATTAAATATTATTGAATAGAAAATAATATATATGTTTACCTTAACAAATAAATAATGTATATGATATGAGTCATGATAAATGTCATAACGTATGCCTAACACAATTTATGCCTCAAATAAAAATAATATATATATCTTAACGGTCAGTTTTATTATACCAGCTACCGCTATCGGCTATTAGCTGTTATGAACAATTAACCAAACAAACCTTTAATCAATAGTCGATAGCTAATACAAACCTCAATCAACTGCTTTTTCGGGGCTTTTTATCATTAGTTATGAGCTGATTCATATTTATATTATATTTTGATTCAACTAATTCACCTTATAAAAATAATGACTAATAATTTTTTTTAAATTAATATTTTTATATAATTATTTTATTTATAGTTATGTACATATTAAAATGAAAAATAATATAGTTCTTAATATAATATAATATATAAAAAATTAATTATTATACTTTTCTACAAACATTTTATATATATTAACAGGAATCACTGTCAAAATTTTATCAAACAATTAGTTTTTATAAGTAAATAGCTATGAATCATCAATTCAACCGTTATCAATTATAAATTAAGATGAGCAATTAAATCACACAATTTTAAAAAACTAATGGCTTTAGCTTGTGAATTATCGGGACCAAATTTTTTTTTTTCTTACAAAAAATTATTGTAACTAACTTTATGCCAGATTATTATACCTAATAATATGTATTGGCACACGTCATGTCGTCATTGCAAAATAGTTGCTTGTTTAACCTAAGATTACTTGTTAATTAAGGCATTTACCTAAGCCCACTGTTAGCAAACACGTGATTAATTTCTGATTTCTAATTTCTTAATTATAGTTTTTCTAATTATTAATTAACAGGCAAATCACGTTTTCTAATTGAGATTCTGCAGTTAAAAAAACTTCATTGTCAACTCGTCACCAGTGACGACTAATTTCATTAAATTATATTATTTCTAAAACAAAACATTCAATTATGATATAATTAAATTGAACCAAAAGTATTGTAAATATATTATCAATATAAATAATAAATATATAAAAGCTCAAACATATAAGCTTATGTTGCACAATGTTAGAGTATCAATATGTTTACATGGCACAATGTTAAAATATTATTTTATTGAGGTAAAAATAATTTTTATATTTTTAATATAATTGCTTGAGTTAATATAATTGATAATACTTTTCAGTTTTTTTAAATAATAAATAAAAAATTAATAATGTCATTAATATCTTAGAAACCTTGTACTTTTTTTTAAATAATTAACAATATGATTAATACTTATTTTTATATAAATATATTACTAATATTTATTATCTTTATTTTTTCTGTTGTTATGGAATTTATATAGATATCCTTTTAATATAAATAAAATTATAAATAAAAATTAAAATCATACTTTTAATAAAAAAAAAAATGGGTCCTTTGCAAATAATATCAAGATGATTTTCATGACTAGTGATAGCAGTTGGATTGTGGAGTGTATTGAATTTTTTATGATCAATTGAAGTATAATTTTGTGATTCATAAATTATTCTTATATAAGCGTGTTTGATTCGTACAGAAGCATTTTATTTATTATTATTATAATTAAGTATTAATTTTTGTTATTCAACATAATACCACCTAAATCATATATGGAATTCACTTTTCACGTTGCTATTTTTTTAATGAAATTAAAATTAAAATTAAAATTCATTTCTAATGTGATATGTGTGAAATAGGAAAATTTTTATGATAAATTTGATATTTGTTTTTTATTTTATGGAACGAGACGACGGTGTTTTTCAACTTATTTCAAATCAAAGTAAATTTTAACGAATTATTTTTTTTTTAATTTTTAATATTTATTTCATTTATCTTTGGATTTTAAATTATTTTATTCAAAATGAATATTTTAGTAACTGATATTTGTATAGATTAATTTTAAAATCTATTAAAATATTTCTATAAATTGAAAACTTTAAGCTCATATTTGTAAAGTGATCATGTAACAGGAGTCATTAGAATTATAAACTTGATCCATGAAATTATATGTACATTGATATATTAATCCTTTTGCGAGTATCTAGAAAAAAAGAATTATTTTTATTTTAGTTTTTTTATGAACATTAGCAAGTATAATATATCGAATATTTGGAACCTTGAAAATCATTATTTATTATAATAAAAACAGTATTTTTCATTTTAAATATCATATAATATTTGCATGTAAAGAACGGAAAGAGAACTAATTTAAGTAAAAAATTGAGATCAAATAAACTTTTTTAGAACTACCGACCAGAACAATCTATCTATCAAAGTATAATTTTCTTATAGATCTAAAAAAGTATAATTATTTATTTATTTATTAGGAGAACTCGAACTTAAAACTTCTCACCACTTATATAAATAAAAAGACAGAACAGACCACAGTTGATTAGCCTAAAAAGGTATGACTTTATCGGACAATCTGCATTAAAAATATATATATAATAAAAATATTATTTTTAGTTCCAAGTATTTAGAATGAAATATATATGATATGATGTAGTTTCACTAAAAACGAAAATTATATAAAATTCAATTGAAGCAAGGTAAATATAAAAATTTCATTTAGTAATTGAAGTTAAAAATCATCATGAATAGCAAAACATTCAAGTTCGAGATGAATGATAGAATTTAAATGAAATTTTTGCTTAAATTGAGGGAGAATATTCGTTTTTCTTAAAAAAAATTCAGGAAAATCAATTAATTGATGAGATTATTATAAAATAGTAATTGTTGACGTGGGCCCGTTTGCAGGCAAAGATTAAAATCAAGCCCAGCAAGTATTTTGAGGGTTGAGCTTTGAATTGATGGTGTGTTAAGGTTGGGCTTTGGTTCGTTAAAGCCCATTAGGTGTTCAAGTGGGCCTGGCTTTTGGATAGTTTGTTGTTATTAGACAGATAATTATAATCAATTCAAATAATTTTACATCTAAATTCTTGTGTACAGGGATGATCAATACTGCGGTTTCTAATAAACCAAATTAAACCGACTCACTTTAATTGGGCAAACCTTCAATTTCACTTCTAGTTATAATTTGGTATTCTGAATTTATCAATTTAATTGTAATTACACCCTAATTGTAATTACACAGTCTCTCTCCAGATATAAAATGGAGAAGAGATCACACTACGATGGAAAGAGAGATTGGAAAGCAAAAACAGAACAGAAACAGATGACAAGTTTCGAGGTAGCAGCAGCAGAGGACGTGTTTTGGTCTGTGATTATAGTAGGAGTAAGCGTTTTGTTGGTAAGGGTATGGGTTGTGATGTGGGTAAGACCCAGAAGAATTAGGTTCATGCTTTTGAAACAGGGAATTAGAGGACCAGAACCTTCTTTCTTCTATGGAAACATTCAACAAATCAAACACATCCAATCAAATATTAACAAGTTCCATATTCAATCATCTGATGATGCTGTCTGTTTCTCATAATTCTTGGGCTTACTCTACCTTCCCTTGCCTCCAACTACGGGCGCAACAGTACGGTTTGCTTTTCAGAACTTTTGAATCTTAAATATGAAATTATTATTTCATCTTTACTAGGAATTTTAAGCATAGAACAACTTCTATTTTGTATTCAAGTATTTTTATTCATATATATTTATAATAAATAATGTTGTTATTCTCCTTACCTCATTTCTCTAATTGAGTAAATTCCTGAAAGTTACATAATATTATGTCTCGTAATATATAAGATTAGAAATTCAAATCATGCCCTTTTCAAAAAAGAAGAATAAATTCAAAC